TGGATTGGGAAATACCTAGAGATTTGTGGGGTGGAGCTTGAGAAAATTGACTTTATTGATAAAAGGCGCAACAGATTAAACATTTGAGAATACTTGGTAACGGTTTTATAATTGGTATGACAAACATACGTAGGCAAGCTTGCAAGAGACAGACCAATAGTTTACTAAATGAAATATATACCTGTTAGGATGATAGAGACAGAAAAGTTGCTTACACAGTTCATGAGAAATTGTTATTAAGGCAGTATAGGTATTAGTATAAATATTGGTAGAATTAAGAATAACCTCAATGTATTTGTTTGTATGTTAGTATGTATGTATATGTATGTATATGTTATGATTGTTTGTGTATGTTATGTGGAAAATGCAATAAAATCCTGCCCCTTTGGGGGGCAGTTAAAAAAGAGAGAGAGAGAGAGAGATGGGGCTTGGAGAGGGGAGAGACTTTAATGGGATATAATGCCATAGAGTTAGGGTTGCCAGCCCCCAGGTGGGAGCAGGGGAACCCCCTGATTTGGTGGGCTTGAATCCACCACTGTCCAGCTGGACAGTGGGGGGAAGCCCCTCGCCCAACACCCACCACCTGGCACAATGTCCCCAGCATGATGATGGTAACCAAAGAGTTTTGCCCAAAATACTAGAACATCACCGTGTGGCATCCACAGCATGATGACGTCACTTCCATGTGATGTCATCATGCTGGGGATATGGCACACAGCCATATCGTCCCACCCCCGCACTCCCAGAGAGCTCCCTCCCACCCCCCACCAGGGGGCAAAGAGAACCTGGCAATCCTATGTAGAGTCCACCTTCCAAAGCAGCCATTTTCTCCAGGTGAACTGATCTCTGTTGCCTGGAGATCAGGTATGATTCCAGGAGATCTCCATCCACCACCTGGATGTTGGCAATCATAGCCTGCAGGCTCAAAAAGGTTCTGAGAGTAGACTTGTCTTGTGCTGCTTTGGTCTCCAACCACTAGAGGGGAGTAAAAGAACAATTGATCGAATTCATTTGTCTAATTCATTGATCGAATTCATTTAGAGGACTTTCTCCATTTCCTGAGCAGTGCCTGAAGTTCTTTCATCACATATATTCTTTTATCAGAATGTGGCATGGTGTGTTTAAAATGCAATGATCACAATATATATTTTATAGAAACACAAATGGGTGCTGTCATTGTTAGCTGTGATTGACAACTTCATTTCAGTAAGCATTCTTTGCGATGTATGGACCCAGAGTGGAGCAAATTAGGTGGTTACAAGTTTTAAACTGGCAAGAGAGCCAGTTTGGTGTAGTGCTTAATCTGGGAGAACCGAGTTTGATTCCCCACTCCTCCACTTGCACCTGGCTAGATGACCTTGGGCAAGCCGTAGTTCTGATAAGAGCTGTTCTTGAAAAAGAGCAGTTTGTGTCAGAGTTCTCTCAGCCCCACCTACCTCACAGGGTGTCTGTTGTGGGGAGGGGAAGGGAAAGGAGTTTGTAAGCTGCTCTGAGACTCCAAGTGAAGGGCGGGATATAAATCCAATCTCCTCCTCCTCTTCTTCTTCTTCTTAAAAGGGGTTTAAAAGATTGCGTAAGCGGCACTCTGGGAAAAAGAGGGATGAATGGTAACACAGTGACCTGAGAAAACATGCCTTCCACCTTTAAGGTTTTTAGCCTGGGTGTCTTGAGGCTACTTCACTTCAAATTTGCCAGATATCCATAAATGAACAACATGTAACTGTGAATTACACTGTAACATCTGAAGTACTTGCACATTCTGGGAAATCACGACTAGATCTGATTTTCTAGGACATGCAGGAGGCAGAAAGAGGGAGGAGGAAGGAAAGAGGAAGGGGGGGAGAGAGGTAACCTCCAGGACTGGGGAGATTCAATTTCTAAACTCCACTTAGTGAAGGGACTCCTTGGGTGACCTTGAGCCAGACACTTTTCTCTCAGCCTAACCTACTTCATGTCTCCACATGATTTTCCTAAAACATTTCTAGAGGGAAACAATGGAAAGATAATAGAGTGGTGCCCAGCTAAAGACCTGTGGCCAGGATACGGCCTTCAAAGTAACATTATTTGGCTTTGGGTGTCCTTGTCAAATTTATAACATGCAAATTATGGGAAAGTAGCAGATCATGCCAGTATGTCTTTTGAGGACCTCTTTCATGATGCCTCCTTATTCTGTAGCTGAGTCAATGGCTTTGCACACCTGAACAGATGTCCTCTGTAGACAGGATGCTTATTGGAGGTCATGTTGTTCCAGTCCCCAGATTAGTGCCTGTTAGGGCTGCCAGGCCTGTCGTTGATAATCCTGGGAATGTTTGGGAATAGGGCATGGGGAGAGGGAGCATCATGCAGTGCAGTGATGTCACTTCCAGGTAAATACCCTGAAGTGATGGCACCTCATTGCTCGCTGTAGGAATTTCCCCAATCTCTATGGTAAAGACCATAGAGATTGCATGGTAAAGACCACATGATAAGGACCATAGAGACTGGGGAAATTCCTACGGGGGGTGGGATTGGTGGAATTCCTAAAGTGTCACAGATAAGGTGACCAGAAGTGACGTTGCCACATTCACAACATCATCCCTCTGTTTTCTCCCACTGCAAGAGTAGGTGGGGGAGGGGAGCCATGGAAGCAGGAGGTGACCAACCCAGCAAGCCTAGTGTCTGGAGAACACTTCTGATCTCCCAAAATATAGAAGTTTACCATTGCTAAGTTTAAAAGAAATTATCACACTTCACAGGAATGTAAAAACATTCATTCAATTCTGATTATTCGAACATGATGGCTATCCCCTGGGCCGTTTTGATAAATGAGACTGAGAAGCCAATTACGTTCTCTTCTGCTGATGCACCGCAGTGTAGATGATGGAAAGCAGGAGGCTCAGTGCCAGTCCAAGGGGACACATTGCCTCCCTTTTCTGGTATGTGGGGCACTGGAAGCAGCTATAGGTGTTAGGGCTACAACAATAGTATTGGGAGAAAGACCTTGTTTGGGTCAGGGAGGACAATTTGTGGTTACCTATTGTGTAGTGGGTTGCCGCATGGATGAACGACAGACGACGGCGTATTGCATAGCACGCTTTATTAGATACACAACATGACAGAGAACAAACGGCTGGCAGGCCAACTATATACACGACCAGGGGACCACCCCTGGGTCCCATTGGTGGGTTTGAATCTCCCGCCACGGTCCCATTGGTTCCCCCAGTGGAGGGACTAGGATCCTAGTCCTCATTGTTGTCCTGGACTGAAGCTCAGGCGTGTGCGCTGACCTCCGGTGGTGGTCAGTGGACACAACATTACCCAATAGAGATCTTTGTTGCATGGTCAGAGTTTGCTTATAAGTCTGATGTAGTTAAATGTGTTCACAAATGTTGATCCTTCTGAAAACCAGCGCTGCACAGGTCTGTGCTGTGGTGCATTTGGCCAAGTCATGAATGAATACGATGTGTTTATACTGGCATCACTCCATTTACTACTATTAATACCATTTGTGGGACCTGAAACTGGTAATGTATAAATGTTTTGTGTGCAAAAATCATCCACCGTTGTTCTTATGTACCTTTATGAGATTCATCAGTCCTCCTACACAGCCTAGATTTTGCAATGAGAACATTAAGAATTCTAAACAATTTTTTTAAAGATAGGTGTAGTGTATCCAGCCCTGACAGGGCCGCGCATGTCCAGACTTGTCCAGGGACCAAACCTGGAGCTTCACATCTAAAGACAATGGGCCAGAAGGATCCTAGCCGGCCCTATCAGAGGGCTAGGTCCCAAACCGTGAGGCCAATAGGTCTCTCGGTTATTGTAAATAGCCTATCGGGAAGGGGGTGTGTGTTTAGGTGGTGGGTTCTGAGGGAATATAAACCGGCCTGCGAGCCAGCCCCAGTGTCTTGTTCCTGACTAAATAAAGGTATGCTTAGCTGAAATCACTCTCCGTATGCATACTTTTCAGTAGACCTATGAACTATGAGCAGGAGGAGCCGTCTTTGTTTCCTACCTTGTGATCAACAAGCTTAATTCAGGCAATGAGCTGAAAGGGAGTGTGTGTGCGGTCACTGGTCACAGGGGGAGAGGAGGAAGCAAGGCTTCTTCACTCAGTGTGAAGTTTGCATTCAACACAAGGAAAGGTATTGAGGGGAGGAAGAACTGAGCTGCTGCAGCTGGAAAGGCAGAGAAGAAATCTGGCTCCTTCAGCAACAGATACTTGTTTGTCTGTTACGGGGCAATGAGAGCTGTTGCATCGCTTGGCCCTGAGCTCCAGACCTTTCTCAGTTTACTGGTAGGTAATCTTCACTCTTGATTTTATTCTAGTCCTCTGTAGTAACAACCCATGCTTATGTATGATCATTCTGACAGTAAACTGTTCTTAAAAAAAAAAAAGTGACACTGTAGCAGGATAAAAACTGTATGCATCTGAAATTTGAATCATGTAACAGACAAATTTTATAAGCACCATAAAGTACATTGGATGTTAAAGGAGAAATAATACTCATGACAACCAAAGGGCACTAGTCAGCGGTGGTCAAGGACTTTCAGGTCCTAAAGATCTGAGGATCTGAAGGGAAAATACTAAATTTTTGCTGACTAGTTTTTGACCAAAAGTATTACATGATGGTAGTAGCAGTAAAGAACGGTTCATAAAATAATGCTGGTTAATACAATAATTATATATGAATGTAACAATATCTTTTTCATAATACAAATTAGCTGACAATAACATTCTTGTTACAATGTTAATAAACCAATAAAAATATTGTATTACTGCAAGGTCCAAAGTTGCTATCTCCACCACCATCCACAGGAGGAACCAAAAAGTAAGTAAAACAAGAGCAAATGCAATGGGGGAACTTTCCCCCATATTGATCTATTTTGATAGATCCCCAATTGATCCATTTGATTATATATAAATATTCTCTCTCTCTCTCTCTCACTCTCTCTCTCTCTCACACACACACACACAAACACAGAATGCATATTATAAGGGATGCTGTTCTAATTTCGTAATGCACCTGTTGCTGAAGGTGTGGTAATACAAATGTCTGCTAAGTTTTTCTCTTCTCTCTTTTTGATGGATTTTAGAATCCTGGCATATACCCATAACATTAAACTGAAGAATTTTGTTCTTATGTCCACTTCTGTTTTGGACATTCTTCTTATATCATATCTCATAAGCAGTGAGGGTTGTGGACTGTTCTACAGCTCCTAACAGGCAACACATTAATCAAGTTAGAGAGTTAATCATAACATTTGTTTAATGAAGAGGAAAATGGCAAATTAGAAGCCCCGAGCCATTTTACTGAATTGGCAGTTAATGAACAAACAACAGCAAGGAGAAGAGACAGACTGGTTTGGTGGTGGGGGTGGTTCAAGTCAAGAGCAGTCTTTATTTATCTATTTTATTTATCTTCATTATTTATGCTCCAAGAGCCCTTTGGGGCTCAGCTTCCTCCCCACTAGCAGTGGTGCAGGAGGAGGCAATAGGTATGGCTTCTGTCCCTGGTTGCCTCCTGGACCTGTTCTGGCTCCAGCTAGTTCAAGATGAGCCCTGAGGTGCTGGTACAGCTGCTGGGGCTCACCTTGCTCTCAGCCAGTGGCCTGCAGGAAAAGACAATGGTTTTGGTTTTGGTTTGTCATTGCCTGCAGGACCCAGGTCAGTGTTGATCAGGTCCAAGGAAAGCACCATCTTCATCGACTCCCCGATTCCACTCCTCACATCTGTCACGTCAACTGCGAGGGGATCCGCATGGACTATGACTGAATAGCATGTGGCCTGTGAAGATCAGATGCACTAAACCAAAATATCACATCAAAACTCCCTTCTGTCCCGACCCAAGCTGAAATTATTCTTTCTTTTCTGTGCCTGTGGGCTGCTCTGGAATGTGGTCTGACTTCCACAGTGATCAATATGGAAGTGGAATCTATCCTGTCATTTTTCAAAGCATATGTAAGACCTTAATGAAGCACACTCATATATGCAAGAGCTTCTGTGTGTTTCTTTGTGGCAGGCTGTTTTAGCAGAGGGATGGCATGATTTGGACAACACTGATTATGATTGCTGGCCTCTGGAAAAACCAGATGAATTTAACATGGTGGACTGTGGAGGTGAGTGCATCCTTCATTTGTGCTGGAACAATAGACTGGAAAGAAAGGTAAGTGGTTGAAAGGATTCCTAATGTATTTCCTGTCTCATATTCCGGTTCAAATACATAAGTCAGCAGTAACATCAGTTTCTAAACAAGCCAAAGAAAATGATCAGCGCTCATGCAGGAACTTTAGTGCAGAGGCTTGCCTGGCATTCAAGTAGTCCACAGAAAAGACAGTAAAAAGTCGTTGCAGGTACCTGACACAGTCTACCGGGAATTTCTCCTTGGCAACCTAAAAACGAATAGGAAATGTGCATTCTTGTGCAGCTCTGACCTTTCATAAGTGAAATGCATGCAGTCCATGATCTGCTGCAGAGTGGCTCCACACTTCACACGGCCGTCGTATTTGTTGCATGCATGCCTCTTTCATTCTAGTATTTCCTACATTCAACATGAATGATAGGAGTCCTTTCCTTAAATTACCTAGATTGGACTGTGGCTTCCTGACACATGCGCTTCCGTGTTTACAAGCCTTTCTGTGTTGCTCCCATTTTACATGTAGGAAAAACCTCCCTGAAATGTGGAGCTGTTCTCAGAATGATCGTTGTAATCATTGGAAATAAGAGACCATCTATCCAAATAGAATGAAAAGAAATATTATTGTGCAATCTGAAACTAAATTTCTGGAGAGCTAATCCCATTGATGCCAATAATGCTTCCAGTGCACTCCACTCAGGATTGCAGTTAAGCTCTGTGTTGTTCCAAGTGTTACCAGGTATGGGTGAGAAGGAAAGCGATAACTCTGGACATTTAAACTAGCCAGATGTACTGTGAATAGCTCACAATGAAATCAGCACTCAAAACAGTCTTCCAGGGGCTCTTCAGTGAAAACCAAACCTAGAGACACTCACACCTATCCATTTCCTCAAAAAAATTAATATTTCTCAATATAGGAATATTTTGTGCTAAATACAAAAATTTTGGAAGTACCATCATCTTTATAGTGGCCACTCTACCCATTACTTTTTCCCCACCATAGAGAACAATGGAGGGGATAGGGGCAACCTGTTTGGAGGCCCGTAAAATTGGACCCCCTGGTCCAATGTTCTTCAAACTTGGTTGGTATCTTTGGGAGAGGCTCTAGCAGCTACCCTGTGAGTTTGGAGCCTCTCCCTCAAACTCCCTCCCCTCCAGCCCCCAGAATATACCCTATGTTTTTGCCATTGACTTCAGTGGCCCATAGGATATAATGGGGCCAAAATTGACATTCAGCTGGACCTTTTTGAGGCCTGGCATTCTAGCGAAGAGCCTGAAAAAGGAGGGGAGGGCAGGATGCCATCACACGCGAGAGGTGGAATTTTCCCCTACGAGTCCAAGGCCACCCCCCCGGGCCTCAGGGAGTCAGGAGAATTCGCCCCCCCCCCCGTGGGCGTTGCAGCTGTTGCTAAGAACAGCAGTGGCTATAACTTTTTAAGGCGCCCCGAAGGAGAGCTGGGGGAGCCAGAATGACCTCTCGCGCGAGAGGTGGAATTTGCCCCTATGAGTCCAAGGCCACCCCCCCGGGCCTCAGGGAGTCAGGAGAATTCGCCCCCCCCCCCGTGGGCGTTGCAGCTGTTGCTAAGAACAGCAGTGGCTATAACTTTTTAAGGAGCCCCGAAGGAGAGCTGGGGGAGCCAGAATGACCTCTCGCGCGAGAGGTGGAATTTGCCCCTATGAGTCCAAGGCCACCACCCCGGGGCTCAGGGAGGCAGGGGAATTCCCCCCCCACCGTGTCCCAACTAATGGCTGGTGGGAGCAGGGGGCGGGGCTTATGTGCCCTCCCCCTGGGCTCCTGACTGGCGGAGGTTGGAACATGTATGCAGGGCTAGTATCTCTCCTTGTTCAACCCTTTCTCCTGTTTCATGGAGATCCTGTATATTATCTTTCTGGTGTCAGACAATCAGGCACCAGCGTCTGCTGTACTTTTCCGTCAGTTTTAAAAGAAGATGGATTTTAGCTTCATAAAATGGCCCTTTTGTCATTATAATGACTAAAGCATGTGCAGCTCCCCAGGTAATTCTGGCAATAGATATTACATGTTACACTTTTATATTCAGGTTTAACACATCCCAAACCAGACAGCATTCAGTAGACACTTAAGCTAATCCAGAGAGCTTTGGTAGTTACATTTTCATGCTTTGATCTTTCCAACCATTCAACGATTGTAATGATTTAACAAAAAAAAAGCAAAAAGGAGAGAGAGCAAGGCCTCAGCTCATGAACAGCTGATGCCTTCAAAAGTGAATTACTGATTGTGAACAGTGTGCAAAAGGCATGTTGCTTTCATCTTTCTGCAGCTACACTTCCTTTGTTGAAAGCACAGCCTTAAGAAGAACTTGAGTAAAATCATAACTCATGCAAAGCCTTAAGTGTTCCTATTGTGTTAGAAAGAATTGTTTCTAATCCATCAGTGGAAAAGCAAATGAGGTTCAAAGCTCCCAATGAAATATGTATGGCCCAAATCACATAACCATTTTGCTTGCAAACTGGGCTGAGATTTGTGGTGCAAGTTATGATGTGCAGACGTATCAGCACCTAGATCCCAGCAGTGGTGTCTGACATCCTTCTACACCTGCCCTATAGCTGGCTCTCACACACTCATATTCATCACTAGATGAATACACTGCCAGCTGGTGTTTTTCATGTGTGAATCACTGATATTTGTGTGCCTCGCGGGGCAGTGAAACAGGGTAGATTTCTTATAATGTTCCACAAGCCATCTAAGCGTTACCATGCCAGTGCTTCAGCGGTCACTCAGATCTGACCAGTTGTGTCGGCAGTGGGTGTTGGTCCACCTGTTACCTCCCCTTGCACCACAGTTGAATCTCATTTTTGGTGCTGCTGGCCGGGTCTGAGCTGAGTAGATTTTGCAACACTGATTTGTAGTGCCAAAGGGGCCAAGTCAAGTCTGGCTATTTCCTGGGCTACTGCCCATCCACCCCTGATTCTGGAGCTCAGCCTCAGCACAGTCCATATTTTACAAGGTCCTTGGTTCCCTCCCCTCCGCCAGTTATGGACATTGATCACTTCTTGCAAGAAACGTTGGTCACCTCCTTGCAGAATTTTAAAAACAAACAAAACAGAACTGCAGAATATGCACCCGCCTGTCTGTAAATCAGGGAGGGAAATGTTGTACGTAGCTCTTTAATTACTTGATTTCTCTGCAGTAAGCCATTAATGTGCTGCTGAAGCTCACATCCGGAGCCGTATTAACAATACAGTGCCAACAGCAGCAATGGATTATTGTCCACAGGATCCATAAGACTCAAAAGCTTTAATATGCAACAGCAACGGAGATCAAAAAGCTGGTATTAAAGCTTCAGTCAAATATTACCCTTCTGTCAGCAGATCATATGATAATACCCAAAGTCTTCCGTAATCTTTTTAGCAGCTTACTGAAAGGGTCGGAAACCACACACAAAAGTGGAAATTTTTGGTGGGCTCACTAAGCAGGTTCTTTGACTCCCTCATCCGCTGCCCACAAGGAGTCTTTTGAGGTTAATAGCAACACACAGTCTCATTGCATCTTTAAAACTACCAAATGTGTCATGCTAAAATAAGCATTTGCTGGCCAGAGCCCACATAGGTCATCCTTAGGGTAGAAAGCTGTGTCATGTTGACATCGATCCTGTTGGTCAGCTGTGTCGGTCTGAAGCAGTAGAACCAATTTAGAGTCCAATGGCACCTTTAAGACCAACAAAGGTTTATTCAAGGTATGAACTTTCGTGTGCATGCACACTTTTCCAAATATAATTCAAATGCAATGGAATGGTTTGAACCTTACCTGCCATTCCAGTGTATTTGTAAAAGTGCATGCACACAAAAGCTCATACCTTCATTGGTCCATGTTGACATATAGTTTTGCTTCCTTTCCAGGCCTAGAGATGACTTGGGTCCTGAGGCCACCAGAAAAGGTAATCAGCGGGGAGTCCTTTGATGTCATCTATTCAGTCTTCGCAGCAGATTACTTTTACAAATATGCTGTAGAAAATGGAATCCTTTCCCACAGGTACGCCTTTTCATACAATGGTTTGTGCAAGAGTCTGTGGTGTTCAAGCAGAGCTTTCAAATCAGGGGTCATTTCCTGCAAGAGCGCACAGGAGCGGAGCTCCGGCAGTAAGGAGCTCAGGGGGTGGGCACATGCAACAAGCCCCACCCCCTGCTCCCAGCAGCCCTCAGTCAGGTCATGAAGAGCAAGAAGTAGCCAGGTAAGTTGCAGAGCCCCCCCCGGCCCACCTTCAGGTACAAGCTCTCCCTTCTCTGTGAGAGCAGATCTGCACGTTCCCCCCCCCAATAGCTAGCAATCCAAAACAGTCCAGTGGAGCCTGAGCGGTGGTTGTTGCCATCTGACACACCTCCGGTGACATCAGGGGGTGTGGCATATGCAAATAAGTTATGCTAATGAGTTATGCTAATGAGCTCCTGCACCTCTTTTTCTACGAAATGACCCCTGTTTCAAATAAAGTTTTGATAGTCCCAATCCTATAAGAATGGAGGTGATGGAAGAAACCCCTCCACACACACACACACAAAATAATGAGAACGGGATGGCAAAAACTATTTATTAGGTTTGGAAAAATCAGCCTGGACCAGATTTCACAAATCTTTTTAGGTTCCTTTTCACTATCGGGGGGGGGGGGCAGAGTGATCATGAAAGGAAGGAAGTGCTACTGGGACTGACCAGGTTGGGAAATTCCTGGGGGTGAAACCTGGGGAAAGTGGGGTCTGGGGAGGGAGCTCAGCAGGGATATGATGCTATAGAGTCCACCCTTCAAAGCTGCCATTTTCTCTGTTGTTGGAGATCAATTGGAACTCTGAAAGAACTCCAGGCCCCACCTGGAGTCTGGTAACCATTGATGCTACCGGCATTCTGTTCACAAATGGGCCACATTCCAATATTCAGGCTGAAGTGATTTCTTTAGCTATGGCATCGTTGTGCATTTGAAAATTAGCCCTTCTTCCTAGTAACAGTGATGTCATCACCCAGCTAATCAGATTTGGCCACAGAACGGGTGATTGTGCATATTCACACAAATGTGTGGATGACTGGCAACCTGAACATGCACTGTTGTACATTGTTCACATCCCCAGCATAACTCATGCTGGCTACTGATGAGGTTACTATCTGGCAATGTGATTCTTGATGCCATTCTTATTAATACTGATGTCTACACTGATTTTTTAAAATTATTTTTGGTGAGGTATGTGTGTGTGTGTGAGAGAGAGAGAAAGAGAGTGAGAGTGTACCTGGAAGTCATGGCTGACTTCTGGCGACCCCTAGTAGGGCTGGGATGTTTCAGAGCAGTGGATGGTATTCCGGCCCTGGTATTCTTTGGATGTCTCCCTTCCAAGTTCTTGCCAGGGCTGGTCCTGCTTAGTTTCTGAGATCTGATGAGATTGGGCTTGCCTGGGCTATCCAGTTCAGGGCATGATTTTTACATTGATTTTAATTGTGCATGGATTTAACTGTTTGTTTCAAAGTCTGCACTGTGCTTTCTGAACGGCTGGGGCTGAGACTAACTGGCTCAGTTTACACAGTGTGCACTGTGTTAGGGTAAAGCTTGAAACCAGGGTCTCCCAAGCAGGGCCAGCATCAGCATACCAGGGTCACAGGCTTCTGCTGCTGACCCTGTGCTTGTGAGTGATTCACCATCACATGTGGGAGGCATACAACATCAGTGCTCCTGGCAGCAATGGTGGTGGCACTCCCAGATGTACAGACTGCACAGTCCAGTGGGAGAAAGGGCATATAGGCTATGTGTGTGGTTGTGGGCACAGGAAGGTTTGCTAACATTTGGGGGAAGGATGCACAGGCAAATATGGTGGGTAGGAAAGGGGACTTATTGTAAACATGGGGGAGGAGGCCTTTGGGTAATATCTGTTCAGGGGCCCAAAACTGGCCCTGCTCCATGATTCCAACCACTATAGGGTAACCTACACTGTAGGCTTGGATAATTCCTGAAAATCCAGGTGGTGGTGCTTGTGGAGGGGGGAGTTGGGGGGGGGAGCCCAGCAGGGTTGTGATACCATAGAGTTTACCCTCCAAAGTTGCCATTTCCTGCATGGGAATTGATCTCTGTAGTCTGAAGATCAGTTCTAACTCCAAGAGAACTTGCCCTTGTCACCAAGCACAGGATCTGATGGCAGAGGTATTGGGTGTTGTAAATAAGAAGCAGGAGACTGACCAGTTATGAAGGTGCACAGAGAGTTTATATAGTTATAAAGGTGAATATATACAGAGATATTTACAGGCTATTGAACAGCATGTCGTGCCTTAACTGAGTTCCCCTCCAGCTTACTAAACTGATAGCTATTATGCTAATCCCCAGCCAATCTCTAACAAGGTGATGTAATCACTAACTCTAACAAGACCTGAAAGAGCAACACCTGCTAGTCAACACCTGGCTGTAGTTACATGATTACTAGCATGACAGCTAGGTCTGACAAACAGATCAAACTGATCTATAGTAACTGCTTGCTACCTCTATCACTCTGACATATATCTCAATAAGAGGTTCCCAGGTCACAATCCAAAAGTCACAGTCCAGGATCCAATAATACATTCCAAATACAAGATCCAAAGGCAGTCCAAGGTCTCATTCCATTGCCCAGTTACATATTCCAAAGGCAGAGTCAAAGGGAGTCCAAAGGTCAGGCAACTGGTGAAGTAGTCAACAAGACTGCTGACAAGTTGATCCCACACTGGCTGCAGCTTCTTTTCCCTCCAGGTGTTCACAAGGAGTTCCTTAGCAGAGGGGAGGTTGTAGGCTGCTAGGGGCGCACTCCTGGGCCTAGTCTGTGCCTCAACCTAGCCCTTTGCCTCCTCTGCTCCTGGGGGGCTTTAGGAGAATGTGGTGGGTCTGGTCATGGGCTGGTCCATACTGGGGCCTTCAGGCTGGCCCAGGGTCCCTTTAGAAAGACGCTGAGATCCCACCCTCAGAGGAAGGGTTTGCCAAGGTAGAGCTTGGGGATGGGTTGTTCTCCTCTTCCTCTAATGAGGTCTCATCCTCCCCTGCTACACCAGGGCAGTCCATGGCAGAACTCCAGGCCCTGCCTTAAGGTTGAGATCCCTAATTCTATGGCAGTGTAGAGTTAAGAGGTAGCCTTCTAAACAAACCAGACAAAGGATAGCAAAAGTCTTTAGGGAAATGGGGTTGTGCAGTCTATTCTTATTTAGTTCTGCTAATGCCAAGATGTTTTAAAAATTAATTTAGGAAAGCATATTGATTTCAAAGTAATTTTTTTTAAATCTTTGAACTCATTCTCTTTAAGTAATGCAACTGCTGCTAAGAAGTTCTGTGAGGAACAGGAATGCACTCCCAATTGGAAGGATGCTAATGGAGAGAACTGCTGTGTCCATCATGCAAATATACACTCCTGTCCGCTGGCTTTCATGGTTAGTATGGGTGGAAACTGGAGGAAGTCAACAGGTATTAAGACCTAGAAGAAATAATAACCTAACCTCAGATGCAGGAACTGCCAGTGCTTGGGGGAACAATAGTAACTGGCCTCAGGTGGTGTAGAAGGAAAATATGTGAGGGAAATAACAAAGGCAATACATGAAGGATCATCTCCACCCCTATCGACCTGTCCAGATGTGGAGATAGAAAAATAGTGCCCTCCAGAAGGAACAGGTGACTGTTGAACTTCAGCTGGCCAGAACCCACAGGAGGGCCTTCTCAACCACTTCCCTCCCAGTATTGTCCCTTCTAGTCTTCCAAAGGCTGGGTGTGTGAAAACTTTCCTTTTCAGGGTGGCATTTAGTCTTGAGCTTTTGCCTTAGCCTTCTTGGCACTACTGCTTTTATTTGCTTATTGGTTTCATTGGTATTTGGTTGTCTACTTAACCCCTAGCATTTGGTTTGGACAGAAAGCACTTCTTCGCTTCTCTAGAAAGAAAGTGGAATTATATTGTAGGAGGGTAGAGCTGGGTTGAACATTAGGAGAAACTTCCTAACAGTAAGAGCAGTTGGGTGATGGAACCGGTTGACTGGGAGGGCTCTTCCTTGCTGGAGTTTTTCAGGCAAGAGTTTGGGCAGCATCCCAGTCACCCACTCTTTACAGGGTATGCCTGTAATAGTTTTCCTTTTCTCACACCTGCTTTAGTGGTTTAGATTATAAATTCTGAGATGTTCAAATCTCGTTTTTGCCATGGACTCACTTGGGGGCCTTAGGGAAGCCATGATTTCCTGAGCATCACCCCCCAAACTGTAGTATGGACAGTAATTATGCTGGCCTATAGTATATGAGTCTGATTTCTGATATACGTGAAGTGCTTCTAACACTCAGAGGTATTATGTAAAATGTAACAGGGATGAAAATGATTCGTAGTGTGCAGATTTCTAAATCCCTGCTTTTCTTTTGGGGATGAGGTGATCTGTGAGCAAATCAAAAGGGAACGGGTTTAGCCATCAGTGATTAAAGTTTCATTTTGGTTCAGATATTTCATGCTTCTTTGCTCAGATGGAACTATATATAAAGGCTAAGAGGAATGTGGCTTTGCGATATGGAACGCTCTTTTATTGCAAGAACGCTGCTCTGCTAAGTAAGAGATATTTATACCCTCCCTGTCTTTCTCAAGGTTTTTCTGTTAGCCTGAAGAAGCCACTCACACTGGGGGCAATGTGTACAGGAACACCTGAAATCAGTTATCAGAAATAAGCCATTTTTTAATGAAACCATAAGAACTTAGTAGTGTGTATTTTATTGCAAGATTGTGGGTATAATCCTTTTTGTTACAGCTTGCTGGGAAGTGAGAACCTGCAAAATGTGTACACAAAATTGACTCTCTCAAGTTAAAAAAAAAAGTTTATGAAACTGGAACTACTTTCAAAACAACTTGAACATCGAAGAAAGAGCTGTATAAGGAGCCTATGGGCCAGTTTCCCTTCCTGAATTGTTTAAAGGGCCAGTGTTGAGTAGTGGTTAGAAGCAGACTAGAATCTGAGGACCTGAGTTTGAATCCTTATTTAGCAAAGCAACTCCCTGGTGACTTTAGGCCAGTACATTGTCTTAGCCTAATCCACCACACAGGGTGGTTGTCAGAGCGCAATGGAGGAGAGGAGAACCATATACATTATCCTGGACTCCTTGGAAGAAAGGTGGGATAAGCAAACCAATAAGGATAAAGAAAGAAATAGGTACCTTGCAAGAAGAACTGAAATTACAGAGGCTAATTGTTTTCATTCTTGTTTTACATTTTATCATTTTCATTTTCTGAAATTGTATCGGGTTTTTTGTTTTCAGATTTGTGATAATATTGTTTTTAAATGTTTGTGAGCATCCCGGAGTCCATGTTTGAGGAGAAAAGTAGATGAGAAATGTTTTAACTAAAGAACAATGTCTTCCTAAGCTCTTTATTTGATATGCAAGGAGGACCAAATATACCCCAAGTTCCAAATATCCTTTACATCACCAGGAAGTTATCTTGAAATACATGAAGGCTAGATTACATATTCTCTTCATTATTCATATTATGCAAGATTTGGTGCTCATTTGCAGTTATTACTGCTACAAGACCAGGTAAAGAAGACTGTATTAGAGACTTAAGTTGCAACATTTCATTTTAATCTGTTTGTCAAAGGGTAAAGGTGGAATTTGCGGTCCATGGATTCCAGATGATGGACAAATATTCACTCACACAGTCTCTACTGCCGGCAAAATGTCACAGACAAACTGGACTGCCAAGGTACAGAAGGTTGAATTCTTATCGCACAATTAGGTTGCATCAACAGACCGTTGGAGATTGTGCTATCATTGCACTCAAGTAATTTGCAAATGAATTTCCCTGCACAGACAAGTCAATCCAGTTTTGCATTATAGCTGTAGTGATAGTGCATTATCCAATGACATGTGGATACTATCTTAATTTCATTATTTCTTTCTTCAGTTTACGTTTGAGTGTGTAAGTTCACTTGGAAGGGATCCTGTCTCTGATCACATTACTACAGAACTCGGATGATTCTGAAATTCTCCTCCTCTAGTTCTGCATTTTCTACAGAGCACTGCACATACACAGTTTGCTGCAGCTTCCAGTTCGACTTCTACCTCCTTTACAGCATGAGTGTACATATGTATGGGATGTCAGGGTGATCTGACTGCAACATTGATTGACAGGGTTGATTTAGATGATCTGGCTGACTAGGCAGGTGCCCCTACCTCCCTCACCACTCCATATGCATCCCTCCTGAAGCGATGTGCTTGGTGGAAGAGGACAACCATCCCAGAGAGGAGGAGTATACATTTCTTCAGTGAAGGGTATGTGATTGCTGCACTCCCCTGCTAGAACCTCCAAACAAGCTCAAGGTCCATACCAGTGTTCCCTCTAAGCTCCACAGTGTTGTGAGCAGAGATTCTACCTTGTGAGCGGAAAAAACGAGTAGCATTAAAGTTGTGAGTGAGTCTACATTTGACTATCATGTAAATTAGTTTTTTAGATTACTTCCCTAACCTTGTAAAAATCTCAGAATAAATTATTTTAAATTATATTTAAACTATATTTTAAGAATAATACATACAAAACATACAAACGTGAAATATGAACTACAAGCTGTATTACAAGTCATAGTTATATTTGCTTTTAATGTTTCATTTGACTATCACATACATTCGCTGTTTGTCCTACCATAACCTTGTAAAAAGCTCAGAATGCATTCTTTTAGAACATATTTTAGGAACGACTTAAACAGTATCCACCAACCAGCATTACAAGGAAGAGATACATCAGTAATATCTTTGACTATTTCTTCCACTACTGACACATCAGAAGAACCAAGAGAGCCTCCAAATTCTACCTCTGTGCTTGGACTACATAGACTCAGTGCCTCAAAGTAGCTTCCTTTAAAGTTAGCCCCCATTGATTAACCAACAAAAAATGTAGCAGCTTTAACCAGAGCACACTTGGAGCTGTAAGAATAAAATACAGTACACAGACCCACCCTTTTGTTTTCAGAAAGTACTCAAACTCAACCTCTTTCCCCCTAATTGCCAAAGCATCCATTTTCTCCAGGGGAACTGATCTCTATAGTCTGGAGATGAGGTATTCCGGGGGATCCCCAGGTCCCACCTGGAGGCTGGCATCCCCTACCCCATAATAACCATCCATGCAGGAAGTGCCATGGGTGGTTTTGGGCCTTGCTCCACAGCTTTCAGCAGCTTGCTTTTTTGAAAATCCCTCAAGCCAACTGAGAAACTGAGGTTTGGAGGTGGAGCATGGGGGAAGACAGGGACCTCAGTAGGGTAGAATGCCCGTGTCCATCCTCCAAAGCATCCATTTTCTCCAGGACCCTGCCAGCTGCAGGACCAGGCTGCACACTTCCTTTCTCTTAACCCCCCCCCCCCAGGCCTGCTGGAGGATCTTAGAATGGTGAGTGCAGGCTGGGCACTCCTTCCTGCCCTCCCCCCCTGCTCTCCGGGGCAGGTTGCACGCTCCCTTCCTCCCCCGTTGAGCCTGCTGGAGGACGGAGTGCAGGCTGGGCGCTTCCTCCCACCAGCTCATCAGGGTTGGGCTGCATGCTTTCCTCTCCCCATCGAGCCTACTGCCTCCCCCCCCCCCACGTGCCTCGCGGAGGCAAGGCTGCACGCTCCCCTCCTCCCCTGTCGTCGAGCTTGCTGGAGGCCCTTGGGTCCCGACTCACAAGCGCAGGCCACGTGTCCCCTCCCCCCTCACAGGCTCACTGGAAGTCCCTGCCAGCTCACGGGGCCAGGCTGCACACACAGCCCTCCCCTGGCAGCCCAAGCCTATCTGCTACTTACCCCAGCTGCAGCGTGGTAGAAGCAAGCTAGGGGACAGCTCCTATTTCACACCAGCAGGCAGGCAACCAACTAAGTGGGTGGGAGGGAGGAAGGGGCGTCCCAGAGGAATCCCGTGGGCAAAAAAGGAGAAGCTGTGTGTCCACTGGGGGAAATCCCTGCAAGGTTGCACACAAACGCACGCTACAGGGAACTGTGGTCCATACATATGCTTATAAAATACCACAAAAAAGTAAGCTACTGGTAAGGATATACATGGTCTGTTGGACTATCAACTGTTCCATTTTGAATTTTGGTCCAAAACATACTTTCAGAAAGGCAAAAATATTTCCTCAAATTGTGCAATTATGCTAATGGGCCTTTGGCTTGATCCAGCTGTGCAGTTCCTATGTCATTCTTTTTTTGCTTATTTCATAGGTAGTTCTGGTACACGTGGCTGTGACTTCTCTCATTGCACACATCAGAGTTGGGAGAATGCAGGCAGCTTTGGAAGCCCAGACAACAGTGCTCCCTGCAGTGGGTATGATACTGAACTCGCTCAAGTGGATCGTCTGACAGAACATGTGTTGTCATATTGCAAGAAAGGAAGATCAGGGTGTTATTGTTTTCTTTAAATCTAGTGTGAGGAATTAGAGCTGTGGAGATTAGCACATGAACCTGCCTTATACTGAATCAGATCCTTGGTCCATCAAAGTCTGTATTTTTCTACTCAGACTGGCCGAGGCTCTCCAAGGTCTCAGGCAGATGTCTTTCATATCACCTACTGCCATATCTTTTCACTGGAGATACCGGGGACTGAACCTAGGACTTTCTGCGTGATAAGCAGATGCTTTACCACTGAGTCCCTGCCCTGAGCCCTAGATGATTAATTGATTACAGAGCTGAAATATAAAGTGAGAACCAGGGGTTTTTAAGCCCTTGCTTGAATTTTCTGGTCATGCAGATGATGTACAATTACTCCAGGGATATATACATGGCCTTTGTCTGAGGGGCCATAGTAGCAGGAGGCACTGCAGTTAAGGTGTGCACATGATCAAAGTTTGGTATCACTTTTGCAGCCCCATTCTAAGCATGTAGGATGTAACTCTGCATATTGATTTTCAACAGGCTTCAAAGTGTGAAGCTCTGCTTAGCATGGTACTGCCAATATAGTCATGAATGGGAAAGCACAAGGACTTCCAGGGAGGGGAAAGAGCCTCCCTCTCTGGCTCCTGGTTCTCCACTCTCTCTCTTGCTCCAGCTCTACTTTTCTTCTCTCCCTCCCACTGGTTACTCCCCCCCCCTTGAGCTGCATCTTTATTTCACCTCATCCCTGCTCCATTGGTGCTTCCCACCCCACCCACTGTCTCCTTCCCACCCTGGCTCTGCTTCCTTTCCCCAGACCCCCACAGTGGTGGCCATTTACACAAAGCCAGGCATCAGTTTAGGTTGCTGTCTCTTGGGTTATTGATTTTGACAGCTATTTCCCATTGTGTTTAGTCTGCGGAGATGATGTTTGTGAAGACGATGAGGGCTGTTCCACATGCCCAGCTGACTGCGGGGAATGTCCTTTGACAACAGAGGCCAGGATAGCAATTGCTTTGCCAATATGTATCGTCTGTGCTGGTTTCATTCTGACCATTGTGGTAAGTGTCAAGTAGAATCTCTGCCCTGCTCTCCCGTTCCTTCTCTGTTCCCCATTTAACCTTGGTTTTATCATACAATGTGGAAATAATGCATTCAAGTTAATTTTATTGTTTTAATGGTATGATGATCTGGCTTGTAAATGTGATCAATATAGGGCAAGATTGTAAGACCAGTCTCATGTCATTTCATGAACAAGATGGAAAGCTGTTTGGTTGGGGGTGTGGTAATATTTTCTATCCCATTGTCTTTTTCTTTCTTTCTTTCACCCCTTCTCCCTTTACTTATTCTGTGCCTAGACTTCTCTGTACCTATCCTGTAAAACTTATCTCTCCACCTTCTTGGCACCCCACTTTATCTCTGACCTATTGCATCCCTCTTGTGCAAAGAAGTTATATTTTTAATAAAGACTTGTGCATGTTCATATATCCTGATCTGGATATATAGTCTTTAAAAAAACAGAAGAGAGAACTTCCTTTCCTTTTTCCTTCCTTCCTTCCTTCCTTCCTTCCTTCCTTCCTTCCTTCCTTCCTTCCTTCCTTCCTTCCGTGGCTTGCACTGTGAGTATACTCTTAATTGGTAGTTGGTTACCTGTCAATTGTGGTACAATTGCTACCAGTTGAACACAGTTATAATAACAATTCCAGATGACCTTTAATGACAATTCTCTGTTCTACCATTTTTTCCTTGATTTTCACCCTTGGTTCACCTTTTTCCAGGAACCAATTTAGTTCTGATTCCCCACCCCCAATCTGAACAGAATTAAGTGCAATTGCTGTGGTATTATTTTGTACTATTATTTCTGTTATTATTTTTGTGCCATTATTTTGTAACGAGCATTATTTATCATCTTACCTGCGGTTTCCAGGGAGTACAGTGACAGCTACTGCAGTCACAATTTTTATTATTATTTTTTAAACTGGCACTATAACGCCATTGAGAATCAACACCAGTTCTCAGATTGTGGTTTGTGAGGGGCAAATTAGGGGTAGTGGATTTAGCTGCTCCGTATGGGAATTGGGGGAGTACTGATATTGTGCCATGAAATAATAGTGCAAAGGCATCCCTCCACTGATGTCAATGAGCAGTGAAAGGGATGGAGTCGTGATCAGAGTGGAGCCACTTCCTGGGTAGACAAAAAGATCTGATATGTGTATTATTGGGCTCTTTTTGTAGCAGGTACTCCTTTGCATATTAGGTGACACACCCCTAATGTAGCCAATCCTCCAAGAGCTTACAGAGCTCTTCTTACAGGGGCTACTGTAAGCTCTTGGAGGATTGGCTACATTAGGGGTGTGTCACCTAATATGCAAAGGAGGTCCTGCTACAAAAAGAGCCTGAGTGGAGCAGCATGGACCGGTTGGTGTAGAATAGCACCAGTGTGGATCCAGTTGGGGCATCAGCCACGTGCTGCAACAGATTCATCCATGTTCTTGCTACATGAAAATCACTCATGTACTTTGTACATTACACTAATGTTAATTTCCTACACATATGTGATTTCTGTGTTGGAAAACTGCAATGGTGGTCCTGGATATCAGGTATCCAGTTCACTTTAAGTCATGGTCACTTCTTCTTAATTACTATTTCCATGACAAGAGTCATAAACAATGACCCATCACACATTAAAAGGGAAATGCTAAAGTTTACTACCTGAGTTACAATGTGATTTTACTACAGTCGCCACAAATTTAGCCACACAAATTATAGTAACTGTTGCCTATTGTTGGAGGATAACCTCTGATAATCAAGATAACTGTGTCTTAAGTCACTTGACTGACAGGTGAATTCAATTTTCTATTTTAATCTACAGGTATTTTAGGTCAGAATCCGGATCTCTTTGCTTCTAAGGGTCTAGCTACATGCTAGTATTTTCCCAGGGGATATCCCTGGGACAGGTGAAAAGGCATGTTCTGAAGTACTGTTCTTCTCTGGTGCACATGAACCTAATTCAGATCTCTGAGAGAGGGAGTTAAACCTTCTCCATGAATCATTGTCTCAACCAGAAAAAGCCGCTGATCTTGGAAACTTAATGTGTAACTTATCAGCACACACACAGCCCCCCACTGGGGTAAATGCCATTCCAGGTTGGGGAAATGGGGGGGAATAGAGGAGTCTAAGCCCTCTCTGAACGCTGTGGTCTTGGAACTGGGAGCCTGGAAAATGTGAAACTTGAGAACTCCACCCCAACCTGAGGATATTCCCAGCGAAAATGTAATGTGTAGTTAGGCCTACAATAAATAATCACGATGTAGGTGCTAAAGATATTCCCGTTAGATGTGAGGAGCTCTAAAAATATGACCATGTATGTTCAAATATATGTAGTTCAGATTTTTTTTAACATGGCATGCATTTACCAATGTGCCAGTCAATGTACTTACTCTTTGGTTGCATGTATGTCTTCTTTAGTGGTTCCAGTATCAGAAGCAAAAAATGTTTTGGGATGAAAGCTGGATTATAGATTTCCATTCCATAAAGCAAGGTATGTAAACGACCTCATATCTCTAGATCAGGAATAAGCAGCCAGTGATCTTTGGGCCAAATCTGCTCCTCAGGGAATTCCCATCTGATCCTTTTGTTTCTTCTGTTGTGCATTTGAGATGGTTTCTCCCAAGCTGACAAAAGCATTTTAGACTTGGCAGTCCTTTCTTAAAATGTTGGCAGTATCTTCTTAATGTACCTCAGCTGCTCACTTTTACTATGCATCAGCCAAGATGTTAAGATAAGGAAGCAAGATGAACAGTCACAAGCTCTGTTTGCCAGACTATCATTTGCTGTTCACACTAGGAAAGACAGAGTTAAAGTTGTCTAGCCTACCTTGTGTGGCAATGAGTCAGTGGCCCACTATGCATACACATCTTGCTGCAGATTTTCAGAGCAGTAAGCTTTTAATCTTGATTTTGGATTCTGTGACTGCCTTGCGCACCATTCCCCCCCCCTCTGGTGTATTTATTCTGCAGCTACAATTAAAAAGCACACTTTTCTAAATGGGGGTGGAATGTCACTTGTGACGAGTGGGGGGTGGCATTCAAAGTAATTTTTTTAATTTACACAATTGCAGCTGTACAGTAGTGTTCAGCAAGAACCTTCCATTTAAATCTTCGTGGTTCAGGTTTTGCACATGCATTTTAGCATTAGTTCCTTGAATGAAAGGGAACAGAAGGGAATGCAAGCAAAGGGGGAAACCGCAATGTTGAAACTGACAAGACTTTTTCTGAAACTGACAAGCAGCTGTGCTCCATTTTCCATGTTGCCAAACACTAGGGGATTCTCTGCTGTGTTATTGGTCACTCTGAAAAATGGGAACGAGTCACACGATCTCATAATATGGGGGAACATGTTGAGTGTACAGAATGCACAGTAGAACTCAGTGACACTGGCATTGCAACGTATGTGTGTGTGTGTGTCCATGTGCACATACATGCCATGCAAAGTCGGCTGCAACTCCACCACGCTTTGCACAGGGCTTCAATTTATATGGGGGAGGAATCCTCTGGCAGAAGCTCTGGAGAGCTTTTTTAGTCTTGTGCCACTAAATTGAAAAAAAAGGGGGGTATTTATGTCAATGTCCTAGCACAGGTACATAGTAATACTAATTTCCTGCCCTTCCTTACAAATTGCCCTGGTTTTCTCTTTCTCCCTAATTTGACCCTGCACACTGGTTATGATTTTGGCAATTTTGTAGAACCTGTCCTGTGTGGATTACACTCTGTCCTTCAAAGTTCAGTCGTTTGCAGAAAGTCCATGTGGCTCAGCCACCATTTTAATGTTAGGCTTCCAGAGACTGCCAAAATGGTGTCCCCCCCCCCCCCAATTTAGCATCTAATGCATGAAAGGGAAAAATGTTTTGAAAGCTTTAGGCTTCTCATCCCAGGGTTTCTTTCTCTTTACATCTCATGTCAATTTCATTCTGTGCACATGATCCCCCCCTTTATTTTGTTTGCATGCAGTGTTGTTATCCCCCCCTTTTTTTTGCACAGGGGACGCTGCTGTTTACCTCCTCTCTGATCTCCCTTTCAAGTCAATACCAGCAGGGAACTAAACCTTGCACAGCTCCTTTTAAACTTTCCCCGTCACTTTAATTTTTTTTAAATTCCGTGATCGGAGACTATTGCTAGACTCATGCTGCTTGTCAAAAAAATATTAAACATTTTAAAATGAGGGGGAAATGGAGTTTGTACACCGATGAAGGGAAAGAGGATAGTGGAAGGTACAGAGTGGGCGGAATGACCTTGATGTGGACAAAGGAGTGACCTTCGAGGGGGGGCAGAAGGGCAGGGAGGAAATCAAGGGAATCTGTACACTTATGAATTACCGTTGTCTTGGAAGCAAAACAAGGGGAAAACTGGCACAAAAGCACCTCAGAAAACCCGGGAAAACAGTGACCAGAAAGTGAACTGAGTGCTAAAGGGAGGAAAGTCAATGTAGAACAACAAAGAAAACCCAACAGATAAGCATAGTGAAAGCGAGGGAAAACACCCATGCATAATAGGCCAGTGATTGGTGGCAGTGCTGCTGGCTCTTCAACCCGACTCAACTTGAAATTGGGCTTTTTTCTTTAAAAAGCATGCTGACCAGGGCACTTTACCTGTCAATGCCCGTATTTATGCACACAGCTGAGTCCAAGGTATTATGGTGAAACAAAGCTTACAGAATGGAACTTTCCCATTTCCTGCTTTTCCTGCTGCAACACACTGACCATCCCAAAATTGTGCCAGGGGATAGGATTACCAACTCTGAGTTGGGAAAGACCTGGATATTTGGGGGGTAGAGCCTTGGTAGGGTGGGGTTTGGGGAGGTGAGGGACCTTTTGGGGGTACAAGGCCATAGAGTCCACTCTCCAAAGCAGCCGTTTTCTCTAGGGGAACTGATCTCCATTTTCTGGGGATCAGTTGCACTAGCAGGAGATCCCCAGGCCCTACCTGGAGGTTGGCAATCCTAGGGGTAGGTCACTGGACCATCATGGGACAACTTGTGTGTGAAGTAGGGGTCTGCAGTTGGAGAGGGAAGTTTATTATTTATTTATTACATTCTATTTGTATACCGCTCACCCCCTAAGGGCTCTGAGTGGTTCACATTACATTATACAATACATCCTACCTAGGGCTACACATACAATGAAAGGGGGGTGTGTGTGACTGACCTAACAGGCACCCTCTGGCGAAGTCTTGTTCTTAGTCTTTCTGCGGGAGGTATTTCAATCTGGCGGCGGCGACTTCCTGGCGCAGGTCTTCTGGCGCGGGTCTTCCTTTTTTGGTTGCTGCGATTCCGCGTGCTTGGGCGAAGGGCGCGTCAGCGCATGCTCCTGCTGCGGCCTCTGTCCGATAGGCTCCGGCCTGCTGCGTCGTCCCGCATCTGTGCTCCGTCAGCCCAGCCTCACTCGCTCGCTCGATTTGCCGTCGCCGCCATGTTTTCCGCCGCCGCCACCCCGCTGCTCCGCTACGACGCCACCACGAAGGACGGGTGCCCCCCCGCTCTAAGAGCAGGTACCCATTTTGTCTACTTGCCCTTTAACGGGATTTCGAGCCGCTGGGTGGACAGGAGCTGGGACATGGGTCGGGAACTCACCCCGGCCACGGTGGGGCTCAAACAGCCGAAGCTGTTTGGCAGATGGAATTGCAGGCTTCATTTAGCGCCTGCGCCAAAGTTGGCAAAAATGGTCCTTCCTTTGTCAACAGTAGAGCCATTCCATTTGTATAAGCCATTATACTGGTAGAAGAGCACTTTTGGATCCAACCCACAATGTTTAGAACCTATTACAGCTGACCTCATTGGAATAACTCAGATTTTGTGAAATTAGCTGTACTCTGCATGGATCTTTTCCCTGGGCTGAAACCTATGCATCTTTTCACTGTACTCATAAGCAAAGTTACACCTTTCTAAGCCCCTTGAATTCAATGGACATAGAAGAGAATAAGTCATCAAAGGCTTCCATGCCTTACCGTAAGAGGGGATTTCAGCCTACACTAGTAAACCACCTACGAATTAAGCTGTCACCTGGACAAGTCCTCTAGATCTACCTTTAGACTTGCTGTTCTGCCTTTCTAAGATGGTGCAGAGAATACATCATCTTTAAACATAATATATCATTTTCAGTATGAGTTTAGTCAAGCAAGAGTATATTATGTTAACATAATATACTACTGCCACTTGTAGTTCTGGAACTGATTTCATTTCTTTTTATTATTGCAGAGAATGGATTTGTTTTTGTTTTGCTCAGATGATACATTGTTGGCCTGAGTAAGAGATATCAAACTAACAAATGAGTTCCTCTGGAATCTAACAAGATCCAACAAAATATTAGTCAGTCTGGATCTTGTGAAAGAACACATCCCAAATGGAGAGGTGTAAATTAAGCATTCATAGCATTCAGAGGAGAAGCAACCAAAAGAGACAATTGCTTTATTAATTAAAATATATGGAAAGATAAATAGATGTCTGCAGCCATGACACGCAAACACCCCTCCCCCACAAAACAACAACAGTAGACAAGAAATTAGGAGCAGAGCTGCACAAGAAGAACACAGATAAAATAGACGGTAGGCAGGGTATATTTCTAAAACGTTCCCTAAATCTCACACATATTCATTGATAAGATTGCATTATTTTAAAGATATGTATTGATATAAGTGCCTACTATAAAGGGGAAATAACCCAGATACAGTAAAATGAACACTGATATGCTATATTGAAAGCATACCACCCAAATAATTCAGACTATACTTGCTCCCTCCCTTTTTATCTGTTTATTAATGATATGATCCCTTTTGTCAAATCTCAAGCTAGACACCCTCCTATTTTGGCTAACCTTCCCATCTGAATTCTGTTGTACGCGGACAACGCTCTCCTCATTTCTAGAACAGAGGTGGGCTTAAAATCCTTAATTAACACGTATGTTACCTACTGTAACAAAGAGGAATTAGTAGTGAACTATTCCAAATCTAAGGTCTTGAGGTTTTCACGATCCTTCTACACTGGTGCTAAATCTCTAAAAGTGAAGGGGGGGGGAGGGGACTCGAAAAAGTCTCCTCCTTGGAATCACCTTTTGCTATAATTTATCTTGGACCCCACATGTTAAGGCAGCATTGACGGCCACAAGTCTCACATCTAGAGTAATTAAAAAATTCTTTTGCTCAAAAGGGGCCAAACACATTCCGGCAGCTATTGGGATCTTTAACGCCAAAGTTGTCCCGCAACTCTTATATGGCTGTGGAGTGTGGATAGAAGGTGTTTCGGAAAAATTAGACTCCCCTCTCCACATGTTCCTTAGAGACATTGTGGCAGTGCCAAGATGTGTGGCAGGTACGGCCCTTAGGGTAGAATTTGCGCAGCCATCAACTGAGAGAAGAGCTTGGCAGTTAGTATTTAAATGGTTTATCAATAAAGAAAGTCGAGGGGCTTTCCCTAGTGGTCCAGGCTTCACTCACTTGATTCAGAGAGATACCTATTCAAGCAATAGATAATTCAGACTACGTGAACTGTGCAACTTAGAAGACTATTCAAAAATTGCAGAGAAGCTCCATCCTTATAAGTCTGTCTGTTTCATCTGTCTCATTCATCCAGCTCTATGGTGGGCCATCTATCAATCCCATCCATCCATCCAGCTCTGATGGACCATCCATATGTAGATCAATACATGTCAAGTAGAAAGATACCAGAGAAGCAAAGACTCTGGTTTCTGGGTTGTAATAACTTGCCTGAACTCTTGCCAGCGTGCCCATACAGGTAAGTGCCATCTTAATTTTTATTCTGTTCCTTTTAAAAAGATTATGAGCCCAGGACAAGGACTGCAATGGGGAGTGCCTTGAGTGTGCCACATGCTGCTCCCAGCGTCTCCAACGCCAGCTGTATCACAGCAGTGAGCTCCTGTTCAGCAGCACCCAACGTACCCAAGATGAACTATTTCACACAGACTGGGATATAGTATGTGTATTTTGCAATAATTTGACTCTCTTCTACTGCAGTTTGCCTAGCACAAAATACTGGTATTGCAGACATGATTCCACACAGGAGGCAGATCAATTCCATATCGTTGGAGCTGGAACTGTTTTCACTACTTATTCTTTCTGGCCCACTCTACTCTTCATACATGTGTGCCCATTATTTGGCACACTCACAGACACATGTGTATGCATAGACACCTAGATAATTCCAGCTTTCACCAAAAGAAAGGGACATATTGGCATCTTGGGCTGGGATGGTAAGGCAATACAGAGATGGCAAGTTCACCGTTTCTTTCTAGTACACGTTTTACCATGCATCTGCATATGAAGTCCACTAAGACAAACCACAGGTCCATATAGCTCAATATTGTCCACTGCAACTGGCATGGTAGGGAGAGAAACATCTTTCCCGTTCGAGAACCCTGGAAATACCGGGGATTGAATTTGAGATCATTGGCATGCAAGTCGATGTGCTCTACCTTTGAGTTACTGTCCCTCCCCTGGTGTACGGTAAAATTTTCATTCCCATTTGATAATAAAGCTGCTCTAGCATAAATCTTCACAGGGAGATAATTTGGTTGTCTCTGTGGGAAGTGCAGGAGTGGTATGATTCTCCTCTCCATTTGAAAGGATGATATTGATAGTATGCCAGTTAGCTGTGTGCATTCCACACTTAACACTTGACAAAAGGATGTCTGTATTTGCCAATTATTTAGTACAATCACATATCCACCTGTCCAGCCTTGCCATTGGCTCCCATATGTCCTTCTTCTTTGATGGACAATAGCTTGCTTCATTAGATACATTAGTGTGGTAAAGGATAGTCAGAACAGGCTGTTTCTTTTTGGTAAGGGATGTTTTGGGGAAGAAACAAACTGGAAACACAATGGTGGGTGTCGTGTTGGGGATCACTTGTGTAGAAGGTGATTTAGAAGACCCCAGGAGCATTCCCAACAGAGAACATCCATTTGGAAACAGCTGCCTCTATCACAGTAGGATACCTGGCCTGGAAACTCCCAACATTTTGTAACTGTATGTTATAATAGCCATGTTGTGATTGGCCCCATTTTCCATGACAGCCATTTTGTGGTAGTGCCCACTCCACTTCTCAGAATTCCAAAAATACCCACAGGTTAAGGACCCTGATATAAGACAGATGGACTGAGGTAAAGACCCCTGAGCTACCTGGAGAATCCGGTGGCCAAAGAAGGAAGACTTGTAGTTCCTTCTCATTGCTCTCCCAGGGGACCAGCTCTGGTTCTGAGTGAGGCCTGCAAATATTCTTATTCACACCATGGAGTCAAGTTTTTGCATTGCTGAGGATAGTGAGGCTGGCATCTTTGTTTCCTTCCAGTGACGGTAGAATGGTTGCTATCAAGAAAATAATGAAGAAGACGTTTACTCTCACCAAGACTATACGCAAAGAGGTCAAACAAGTCAGGTAAGTTACAAAAAAATTGATCTGGAATGCCTCCCTGGATATACTCCAAGTGAAAGTAAGATCAGAATGTGTGCTGTTTGTATTTTCTTTCCTCTTGCTTCAAAATGTGAAGCAGCTCATACTTCCATTAGTGATTGTCACTCTGATGTATTCAAATTCAGCATCAATCTGTGTGTGAAGTTCTGAGACTTTAGGGTAGGGCAACCTTCCCAGATTTCTTTTGAAGGACATGGTGTGGTTTATGTTTTTGTAACAGAATGATAGAATAGTATAAAACTGCTCCAACCACATCCTGAAAAACTCAAACCCTTTTGTTAGTTATGGCACAGTGTTGGATACTATGTAAGAGATTAGGGTCAATGGAAAGGAAGGGAGAGCTTTAGAACACGTCTTGACCATTAGAAGTGTGGTAAATTGCCACCAATCCCAATCCTCCAACTAACGTAACAAAATGGTTCGGTCTCTATCACACTAGCCCCGAACACCGCACACTCAGGTTCGATTGGTCCACCAGAGTAACCACAGAGTAAAGAATCAACATAGAGTTAACATAGTAAATATGGTTAATAGCCGGGATTGTCATGTTACATTTATAAAGTGTATTTTTTTCAATTGTTATAATTCTCACCTTGTTGTAATCCACACCTCCCTGTTTTTCCTGGTTACGTTTATTGTGTTATGTGCATTGTAAAAAGTATAAAAATAATAATAAGAAGAAGTGTGGTTTGACTGTGGAAATGGAATAGAGCCTCTTTGTGGATTTTTCACAAAAGGAGCCCCTCTCTTATGTTCAGTGGCTGCTGATTTATTGTGGAGATTAATCTGGATGCCCACACCAGAGAAAATACTTCTGTTGCAGCAAGTTCCCATTGTTCAGGATATGATATCATGTTGCTGGGAAAATGTCATATGGTTGGAGCACTCTGTTTGTCTAGAATAAGCTCTTAGAATAGATACCAGGCTGTAATTCCTGTTTTCTTATTATTTTATTACAGAGAACTAGACCACCCCAACCTCTGTAAATTCATTGGAGGCTGTATTGAGGTACCTAATATTGCCATAATAACTGAATACTGCCCCAAAGGAAGTCTGAGTGATGTGCTGCTCAATGAAGATATCCCTTTAAATTGGGGATTCAGGTGAGAAAAAGATTATAAAAGTGGGAGTTTGTACAGGCTGCCTTTCCCCGATGGTTCCCTCCGTGGTCAAGGCCATGTAAAGGAGCTCAAAGTGGGTATTGCAAAAGATATTTATTTGCTATCTGGGAGTGTTGCAATCTATTTCTCCCTCTTTTGTTATAAAGTTTAGCTAGGGAAGTACATGATGCAACATTCTTACCTGATACATTTTGCTACCCTGGATGTACACTATTTGAAGCGGAATTATATAAGATCAAAGGCAAAATTAAGTGGGGATGGGCCAGAACAGAGTAAGAAACAGGAAACAAAAGTGGTTGTTTATTTTTTGGGGAAATATGGTTAGGAAGTTTTCTTATTTTAATCATTTATGCTTCACCTCCAAGGGTTGCTATTAATTATACAGTGATATTGTATCATCTGGTAAGTTTTGTTTTAAAAATCCAATACATTGCTAACAATAACAAGAAAATAGGTGTGTTTGGGGCAGGATACGGCTTATAAAATTACCTTAAGGTCCAAAGCAGTAAAGGGGAAATGGAGGGCAAAATGCCTTCATTGGTTTTTCTGCGTAGAAAAACCTCATTGACTTTCAGATGGGGAGTGGTATGCCATTTCACCAGATGGCATTTTCAGATGAATATGGGATTTTAATTACAGTCAAATGTCATAAAGTAGATAAGTGTACTGTAATGCAGATCATATTTTGTGAACAATATTGATATAGCCAGATTCCCAAATGGGGAGAATAGGGGCAGAGCCTCTGTGTGACATATATTTTAAAATTACTGTTGTAATGCTCTGCAGGTTCACTGAGATGTAAGTCCCAGTGTAATCAGTGAGGCTCTCTTCCAGGTAAGTATGTATAGGAGAGAGCCAGTTTGGTGTAGAGAGCCATTTTGATGTAGTGGTTAAGTGTGCGGACTCTAATCTGGGAGAACCGGGTTTGATTCCCCACTCCTCCACTTGCACCTGCTGATGTGACCTTGGGTCAATCACAAGCTCTGGCACAGCTGTCCTTGAAAAAGAGCAGTTTCTGTCAGAGCTCTCTCAGCCCCACCCACCTCACAGGGTGTCTGTTGTGGGGAGGGGAAGGGAAAGGAGTTTGTAAGCCGCTCTGAGACTCCAAGTGAAGGGCGGGGTAAAAATCCAATCTCTTCTTCTTCTAGGATTCCACTGGCCATAACCTAAGGCCCAAAAAAGTCATTACAGGGTTGTGGCTATTGCTAACCCTTGTTTCTTCCCCATATCCTGTCGATAATGTCTAGGCTGGGAAAGTGTGACTTGCTCAGTGAGCTTCAGGTCTGAGTGGAGTTTGAACCTGGATTTCCTCAGTCCTCGTTAAGTTCTCTGACCACCACACCACATTTGTCTCATCTTACTGTTGAGTGATGGTCAGACATCTTTAAAGCCACTGTCATTTTTTGTTCTGTCAAACGGTTAAAGTTTTAATCTATCCCTGCAGTTCACTAGGGAGTTAACGTTAACACCATTTCTCTTCAGGTTTTCTTTTGCTATTGATGTTGCCCAGGGAATGGCATATCTTCACCAGCACAGGATTTTTCATGGGCGGTTGAAGTCCAGTAACTGTGTCATTGATGACCGTTGGGTTTGTAAGATTTCAGGTGAGGAGTAAAGAAGACAGCACAGCTGGAAAAATGAGAACAAATATTGTCTTTGATCGCTGTTCTCCACCTTATGACCAATCACGTACGTTATAAGGTTATGGACATTGTATTGCACATCATCATTGACTTATCTCTATCCATACATTTTATTCTATCCTTCCTACTGAATGTTATATTTAAGCATGTGTGTTCTATGGCTTGTTGCCGTAATAAATGCCTGCCTGCCTGACTGACTATCCTTCCTACAAAGACCTCAGGGTTTTTATTCAGGAGTATTAGAATGGGCTTTTTGTTTGTTTGTTTTTAAGATACACGTAACATTTATTACTGTGTTATATATGAATTATCTCTGTGGTTGGCCTTTCTATGAACACTTAGTATACTTCTTTAAAAATTAAACATTCCTGGCAGATTGAACTCATGGTAATGCTGAGGTCACAGTAACTTCAGCATCAAATTCATTTCAGCAGTATCGCTTATTCATTTAGAGCATTTAAGGTTGCCTTTCTTCAAGACCAGACTCAAGGTGGGTGACACTGACAATAAAAACAATATGCAATTAAAATAATTAAATGAAGAAATATGTTATACAAATCAGGTGGCAGTGCTAAAAGTTTCTTGAGAATGTGCCACTTTACATTTCTAGTGGTACAACCTTCAAGATGATGCAGAGATAATGTCTGATTCTTTGGTTCATTTCCTCCTCTTCGTGGCAGATTATGGTTTATGGTCATACAGAAAAGGGGATCCACTGGCAGATTCCAGCTCTTCTCACCAGCACTTTGCACGGATCTTTCTGGCTCCTGAGGTTCAGTTGGTACCAAATTTTGAACTGACTCCAGCTGCGGATGTCTACAGGTGATGTTACCACTATTTCCTGAAGTTCTGTCTTTTACTGCAATTTCAGCAGTTACTTTTGTCACAGACTGGGGTCCTCTCCAGAACCTCAGGCTGGGTTTACAAGGAACAAAAGCACAAAGGATTTCTCTACAGTAGTCTGCCACCACGTTACTTAAGGGGTTCCCAACCAACCAGGAGCAAAGTAACGGAAGTCTCCCGGCTTAATACAGGAGCACCCTTCAAAGAACAAGCTCTGCAGCCTCCACCACAGGGCTTGAGCAAAAAGACACAATTGGTAGTAGAAAGACCTGCGGTCTTAAGGCACAAGGAGTTAGGCTTTGAAACTCTTGAGGCTAAGTAACCCAGACAAAGTCAAAATATAGTTTCTTTATTTAAATAAATTGTGCAAAGTTATAAAACACGAGACTCAGGTAGTGAGGAACAAAATAACAAACTCTAAGCATTTCCAGCATAGCTAGTACTTACAAGCATGTACAAGCAGTTTACCCATATTAGGTTCAAAGGTGCAACAAAGTCCAAAGGCATAAAGTATAAGTCCACACAGCATCTTCCCTCAGGAGGATAATTCCAAGCATCATGGCATTATGGCGGGTTGCTTCAAGTATTGACCAGACTTGGCCAAAATACTCAAAGAATCCACCCCAAGTTACCAAGAACATAGGTTCTTATAGAAAAAGGGGTCACGAGTGGCTCAGGCCTGTTAGCCACTCACAACCCTGCAACAGTGATGTCACAGTTGCCAGTAACTAAGGTAACCAAGAATATCCCATAATACTTGTTTGTGAGCACTGGGGAATCGAAACCTAACGTTCAGCAGATAACCCAATGCTCCTCCCAACGCAGGTGCAATCACTTGGGAATGTTGCTAATGAATTGATGGCCTCCAAGGCCATACTGCTAACTATTCGCAGCTGGTGGAACCAAGGGAGTGAGAAACATAATTCTCCCCTTATCAAGGTCATCCAGGTCTTAAGGCATGCGCAAAGAGACTGAGAGGCGCCTTCAAGATTTACACCAACATACTTTGATAGCACATTCCAGGCCTAGCACAGACCCAGAATCCTCTTTGACTAAGGTTTGCTCAAGCAAGCTGCAAGCAACTAAAAATGGAGGCTATTTTGCATGACAACTTTATGACACAGTCTATGAACAATAAATCACAGATCAGGTAGCATGGTAGTCTTGTACCATGGCAGGCAATTCTCTAACAACCTTCAGCTAATTTAGAGAGCATAAGCACATGGCGTGCTGAACCTTAAATGAGAACATCTATTCAGTGGTCTGTGGCGACAAAGTGGTATATTTTTTGTAAATAAATGATAGATAAAATATTGTTTAGTATCTCTCTGAAATGTCACCTTGGCTGTGTGAAAATGGGCAGTGTTGATGGGTCAAGCTCTGCAATCTTAGGTCCTTCTTCCCTGTTAAAGTAAAGGTAAAGGTTCCCTTGCTCGAAAGCCAGTCAAGTCCGACTCTAGGGTTGCGGTGCTCATCTCCGTTTCCAAGCTGAAGAACCAGTGCTGTCCAAAGACGTTTCCGTGGTCATGTGGCCGGCACGACTAAATGCCAAGGTGCATGGAATGCTGTTACCTTCCCACTGAAGTGGTACCTATTTATCTACTTGCAATTTCTTGCTTTCAAACTGCTAGGTTGGCAGGAGCTGGAACCAGAGACGGGAGCTCACTCCATCCTGCGGCACACTCGGGTCTCAAACTGCTGAACTACCGACCTTCCACAGCCTGCAGTTCAGCGTCTTAACCACTTGAGCCACCGCAGCTCCTTCTTCCCTCTTACCAAAAGCTAATTTGCACTCATGAATATATAATCATCAATAATTAAGTGATGAGTTGCAACCAAGTTATGGTGACCCCATGAAGTTCCACCTCATGAAAGTTCAGTTTAATTTATTAACCACCTGCAAGTGCATAAACTCTTTTTTTTTTTGCCCAAATTAGGATAATGCCTTTCGGGGGGGAGGGGCGGAATAAATGAAGCAGTGCATGTTTTATGTGGCATTTCTATATCTTCCTAAAAAATGCCTTATGTCAACTTAACTGTCAATTAATTCCTTACCAGTTTGTGTGTGTATAAAGCGCCATCCAGTCACAGCTGACTCCTGGCGACCCTCACGGGGTTTTCAGGGCAGGAGAGGAGCAGAGGTGGTTTGCCATTGCCTGCCTCTTCATAGCAGCCCTGGTCTTTCTTGGTGTTCTCCCATGCAAATACTGATCATGGCCGACCCTGCTTAGTTTCCAAGCTCTGACAAGACTGGGCTAGTTGGGCAATTTAGGCTCATAAGTATATAGAGTAGAGCAATTAGCTGAGGAACACTCTTCCTAGTCCCTGCCCTCTGTGCCCCCCCAGGTGTGTGGGATGGCATGCCGAGAGAGAATTTTTTTGTGTGTGGTTGCACCTCACTTGTGAAATGCCCCCCCCCCCTTGAGGCTCATGTGGCACTACTGTACTACCCTTTAGGTGACAGGCCCAAACATTTTTTTTTAACCTACATGTTTAACTGAGGGGATTCAATTTTTTTTTAGCTGTTTTTATGGCCTGCTTCTATCTGGAGAACTATTTTCTGGATGTCATTTTAGGTTTCCAAATGTTGTTTTATGCTGTTTTGGTGCCCCAGCTTGTGTTTGTAGCTCATTTTATTGTTAATAACTCCTTTGTAACTCATTTTCTCCTGCCAACCTTCATGGCCGAAAGCAAGAAATTGCAAGTAGATAAATAGGTACCACTTCAGTGGGAAGGTAACAGCGTTCCGTGTGCCTTGGTGTTTAGTCATGCCGGCCACATGACCACGGAAACGTCTTCGGACAGCGCTGGCTCTTCGGCTTTGAAACGGAGATGAGCACCACAACCTTAGAGTCGGATTCGACTGGCTTTCGAGCAAGGGAAACCTTTACCTTTACTTTAATTCATTTTATTGTACATAACTCTTACATTTTTATAGTTTTATTATTTTTTTAACCTTATGAACTTCCTTATGAGCAGGTTGCTGGAGAGGCTACATATACATTTTAAATAAATAAATAAATAATAAGCAACACACTGGCCCATTTTTGAAGGTTTAGACTAGGAAGACTATAACTTATGTGTGTTAACCACTGGTCATAGCAATGTGCTTAATAATGAACGAGTCCTTTACCAAAGGTTGATACAGTTATGAGCACTGGAGCACAGGGGATGGACTTATTCAATTGGTGCCAGAATAACTGAAATAGATAAAATCACGATTCACTGTTATAAATCACTGATGTTCATTCAACAAAACCATCATGAGGTTAAAGAGACCAGCTCCAGTCTAGTTTATTGTGACTAAGTCCTACTGGAAGCAAATTTGTTATTGCTTTTCTAGGGTTGCCAGGTCCTGCCTGGCTGCTGGTGAGGGGCATTATGGTGCATTCAGGGGCATTTGTGGGCAGGGTTTTCCCCCACGAGCCAGCTGGCCAGTGACAGAAAGGGGGCCACAAAGGAGGGGAACCCCCGCATGGACCAGTGGCCAGGCAGCTCTACCCTTTTCCTTAATAGATATATTTGATATGTATTTCTTCAACAATTACTTGTCTCTAATCTTTGCAGCTATGCCATCATTTTACTAGAAATTGCAACAAGAACTGACCCAACAAGGGTAAGAGTTGTGGGAACTGATCCTGAACTAATTTTGATCTTTCTCCTATTGAAGGGCATGTTCTGCTGGGGCATCAGCCTGATTCACACAGTCATTAAGCTCCTGGTAACTGATCTTAGCCTGTGGTGTGTGTGAGCTGTTTCAGTCTTAAGAGAAGGCACCACTTAGCAGTGGAAGTTTGAAGGGTTTCTACTGCATGCTGGCCAAGAAAGTGGCCTAGGCAGAGATCTGAATCCTCCCTTAATGTGAGGAGTGTTCAGATAACGAGAGTTTATAATGGAAGGCCCTCACCCTTCAAGGCTGAATCTCGACCAATAATGTGAATTGATCTCCAGTGGAATTATGAAGATGGTTATACCCTTTAAAGTTGCTGGGGGCACGGATGACAGCAATAAGAGGCCGCTTAAGGATAAGTTTCATCAGCTCTATAAAGATATTTATTTATTTATTCAATTTCTATTCTGCTCTCCCTCACTATTGTGGGGCTCAGAGCAGATTACAACATATAATAAACAATTTAAAATACAATTTAAAATACAAATTGGTGTGTACAATTAATCAGATGGTGTATAACAACATTATCACTGTCCCAGGGGAAGAATGGGAAGAAGAAAGGGAGGAGAAAAGGCAGAAAGAACTATATCGTTAGAAACTCCCCTGGACTCACCACTACACTCCACTCACCACTCACCACTACATCTCCATTTTACAGGCCCTGCAGAACTGAACTAAGTCCCACAGGGCCCGGATCTCACTTAGAAGTGCATTCCACCAAACTTGGCCCTGGGACCATCAGTGTGTTGTTATTTGAAGAACATAGTGCACTTGGGGGGGGGGTATGCCAGGAGAAGCGGTCCCAAAGATATATTGGTACCAGACCATGAAGAGCTTTAAATACTTGGATATATTGTGGCAGATTCTTGACTATTCTGAAAATGTCCCCGATTACATCTGGTACAGTTACAGTTCAAACTCCCTGGAGCAGTCCAGAGACATCCTCCAGCTATTCTAGTGGCTCTAGTGCTTCTTCCAGTTGTGTCTGGCAGATGGCTTCATCAACTGCTGGCCATACCACAGTGAGTTTTCCCATGCAGCATGGGGTACTCTAGAGATGCTCTAGGAGGCCAGCTTGTGCACATCAATATGACCTTGAATTTTTTTGTGAACATGCCTTGGCCTGCTCTAGTCCTAACACACCCAGCTGGGAGGGGGTGGCTGAAAACCAGATGTGACATTGGTAGGCAGGAAACAAGCTGATGTTGGGTGACTGGAAGGATAAAAGAGTCTTGATGGTGGGTGGCCAAGAAAGAGCTGGGTGGTTGTCTGGAGCTCCCAGACAGACTGCCTGAGACAGGCAGAGCTGAGGTGGTTTGGACGCTGAAGCCTCAAAGGCCTATGAAGGCCATGTGGTAACAGGCAACCTGGACCATCTGCTAAAGGCCTCTCTGTACGGGAAGGTACTTCTGTATGAGGTGATATAGGCTTTTGGGATGCTTTCCCTCATGGCTGGAGGCTTGGATTAAATATTCTTTGAGGAAGTTAATAAACTTCCCTACTCTTGAGGTAACCATGGTGGGGCATGTGGGGGCAAAGCCCCACCAGCCACAAGCCCTGCCCCACCACTTGATGATTCCAGACACCCCCACTCCCAGTGGACCTAGCCCTGCAGTGGCGGTGAGGCTGGGGAAAGAAAGGGAAGCCACCCTGCAGCTTCTGGTCAGTTTCACTCCCCACTGATAGGTTCCTCCCAGAGTGAAACTGACCAGAAGCATCAGGGCAGGTTTCCATTCCCTCCCCAGCCTCCCTGCTGCTGGGGGGGGGGCAGGCTGGGGAAGGAAAGAGAGAGAAGGCATGGTAGTGGTGGTGGGAAAGCCAATCTCTCTCTCCCCCATAACTTTCCGTGGCGGGGGTGGTGGTTTAGTGATGTTGGAGGAAGCCAATCTCTCTCTCCTGGGATTGCCAGTCTCCAGGTGGTGGCTGGAGATCTCCTGGCATTACACCTGATCTCCAGGTGGACTCTATGGCATTAAATCCCTCCGTTCCCCAAACCCCGTGCTCCTCAGGCTCCACTCCCAAAATTTTCAGTTATTATTTTAAAGTATAAGAATAATGGGCACCCCAGAAGAAGAAAAAATGCCCCACAAAATGAAAAATCCTGGCTATGGCCCTGGCTGGGGCTGTATCCTCTGAGGCTGTTATGGAGCAGGACTCAGTGGAACTCACGCCTGATCTCGTCCAGCATGCTTGCTGGGTAGGGTAGGGGGATTTGGGCGGGGACATTCCGTGGGTGTGCAGGGATGCCCCCAAGCCCTGTCCCCAAGCTGTGGCCACCCCTCTCCCTCCCTGCTATAAGATTTAAAGGGCTTCAGCTTATCGGGGGAGCATGTGGCCTGCCGACCAGCTGGAGGGCCCTTTAAATCTTTTAGCAGGGAGGGAGAAGAGCTGTCACCAGCCGCAGCTCTGCTGGCAAAAAGACCCATTCCTCCACTTGCACCTGGCTGGATGACCTTGGGCAAGCCATAGCTCTGATAAGAGCTGTTCTTGAAAAAGAGCAGTTTCTGTCAGAGCTCTCTCAGCACCACCTACCTCACAGGGTGTCTGTTGTGGGGAGGGGAAGGGAAAGGAGTTTGTAAGCCGCTCTGAGACACCTTTGGATAGTGAAGGGTGGGGTATAAATCCAATCCTCTTCTCAGGGCTATTTTTAGGCAGGAATGCACAGGAACGGAGTTCCGGCTGGTTTCAGAACTGGCCACGCCCACTACAGCCCAAACCTCTGTGTGCGTGCCTACAGAGGGAAGGCCTGGAGAGTGACACACACACCCCGTGACTCCAAGGCGGGCGGGCCAGGGGGGGCCCTGGAAGGATCAGGGAGGCATTTAAATGCCTCTCCGTGCCTTCCCCAGCCTGTCCAAGGGCTGGCTTGTCCGGGCAAGCCAAGGGAAGGCATGGGGGTGTGGCCTAGTAGGCTAATGAGTTTCTACTGTTGGGTGTGACCTATTATGCTAATGAGTTCCTGCTGGGCTTTTTCTACAAAAAAAGTCCTGCCTCTTCTCTTCTTCTTCCTGTCCTCCTTTTACCCTCACAACATTCCTGTGGAGCAGGCTAGGCTGAGAGGGTGTGACAGCAAAGTCTGAGTACAGAAGATATTGACATCTGACAGCTGAAATGTGCATAGTAAAGTTTTTGTTATAGCAGTCACTAACTCAGGGGCTGTAGTGTCATGAGTCTATCCTTGGGTGGTTTTAAAAACAGAGTAGATGGCTGGGCTGGGTGACAGTTTATATACTCAAGGAATTGGATTATTATCTTGTATTTGTGGTCTTGAGAAGTCCAGAGAGCTAGAGACTGCCTGGATTGTTCACAAATGATTATGTTACTCTAATGAAGTAAGAGTTTTACTCAACAGATATATACACTTAACCTTGACACAAAAAACAGACCCCTGAAGAGTCATTGGTTCTTTTTGGATTGATCTGTTTGTGTGAATTTGGGAGGTCCCCAGGATCATAAAAATGGATGAAACGCAGGCTGAGTGAGTTCAGAGGCTGATATGATTTCTGGAGATGTGCCAGTTATTGCTTTATTGGACAAGATAATACTGATTTCTGCTGTCTCCAGTGAAAAAATTGGAAATATGAATGTCCCCTGTTGTAAATTTAAAACAAAGCTATTGATGAGGAAAAGGGTGAATTCTTAAATATATTCTTCCCAAGCATGTGGCATCTGATTTGAAAGGTGATGTACTGAGAGGATGCATATTTGTTTCTATTTTTTATGCCATTATGACTAAGCACCATTAAAAAAAAAATCTTTGTGTTCCAGAAGGATGAGGCAGAATATTCCCAGTGTCCCACTTTGGCAGAATTAATATCAGAAAAATCTGAGAATGCCTGTCCATGCTCTACAGAATATGTAGAGGTAAATCAAATGCTTACGTATTTTCAATCCCCTTCTTTATGAGTGCATAATTTTCCTGAAGTAAAAGATTTGAAACACATGCATGTTAGAGTTGCAAACTGACCCAAAAAAATAAATACAATTTGGCCTGCTCTTGTGCCTATAATAGATTATTCCTTTTCAGAAATCAACAAGTGAAATGTTATATAATGTTCAGATTGTGGTACAATGAGATCTATTGAGCATTCACTGGACCCACAAGAAAAGTTCCAGTTACGGTAAGGCCCCAGTCTACTAGTACTTAGTGAGTAAAACTTCCCTTCTCCTGTCCTCTCTCTCACTAATAGAAAAATTAAAGGTCAGTCTGCTTCTCTTCATTTTTACCAGTAGAGGTCAGAGGATAACCATTGGTTGATTCTTCTAAATCTTCCCAGTGACCTTTTTTGATGTTTCCTTTGGTTTTTCTGTCCCTTGATGCTCTGCAGAAATCCAATTCCTGGCATTATAGCCAAGATTCCAGAAGCTGCCCCTTAAAACCTTAAAGTTGTCAGGATATAAATCTTTTAAATAAATGCGTAATATGGATTTGGGGTGTGTGTGTATTCTTTCCTCTTTTAATCTGGAAGCACAGGACCTGATGGGAATTTACTGGGAGAGGAAAAATAAGAAGAAAAAATCAGGTTGGTACCAAACATATGTTTGTATTTAGTGTATAAGAGAGAAAAATTGAGAAGGTTCTTACTTACAGCAACCAAAGAATGACATGTGCACACCATTATGTCCCTCATCTTTAAATTAAAAAAGGGAAGGTTCCTTGTTATAGATTCTTTTTCTCCTTCATTCATGCTCATAGGATTGCTGATATAAACATTTTGTCTTCTTCATTTCAAGCTGCAGAAGCCAGACTTAAATTCCTCTCCTTTAGAAGGTTATTGCTTCCACTGTCATCTTTTCGTCCAACCACTAGCCTTTTTTTACTGTAAAGTTAGCAATTGTCCATGAGATTCTGGTAGACCTTGTCTTGTCCAAGGAAGGACAGAAAATCTGAATATCATCTCTTGTGATCCTGGTTGTGCAACTTCTTTTTAGTAATCCAACTTTGAATATTGGTTAAAACTAACTACTGAGCACAAGGACATTTCTGAAAGATTTCAGAGACTACCTGTGGAGTGAGAAGTCATTTCACCACAGAGACGAGTATCGTCATTTGCTAATCTCTGACAAACAAGCTGTTCTCAAAGGAACAGGAGCAGAAGCTAGTAAAACAGTTGGCAAGACTGTTAATTGTGGTCCCTCTGTGGGCTGGCTTTAAAGACAGGGAGCAATTAATATCCAGGACACCACAAAATAGTGTATAGCTTTAATAACCTAAAAAAAAATAATCAAATTCTGACAAACTGAAATTTCAGCTTGTCTTGCACAAATGGAACCACAGTAAATGATGTTTTTAATATGCACTCACTGGAGGTTTATGACTTCCTATAGTTATAAACTGTCAGTTCTATGAACATATTTAATAGCTGTGACTCTTTAGCTTTTGCATTTGAAAAGTAACTGTCAGCAGTCAAAATATATGTCTGGAAGAGATTATGTTTGTTTGTTTTTTTGGCCCAAATAATTTAGGGTTAATCCTTACTGGTTTAGCAACCTGGCAAAGAACAGACTTATGACAGAAGGGGCCAGTCTCTGGCCTTTTTCACATTACTGTTCTAAACCGGATGTTATTTGTTGTTGGCCTGATTTTGAGTAAAGTGATACAGGTTTCATTCAGTGAATTTCCTTCTGTTAATGAGCTCTCTCTGAAGTGCTATGGTCATTTCAAACAGTGCTGCTTCCCTCCACCCTTTTTCACCATGCAATCTTCCTCAGACTTTTTAACATTCTCAGTTGAGTGCTATAGCACTAAACCGATTTAGCACCAATATAGTGGTGCCCTTGAGATGCCTTGACTCCATTGATGCAAACCATTGGAGTCAATGGTGTCAACATCTCAATGGTGTCATTACAGCACTGAAGTTCTATATTGGTTTAGTGCTATAGCGCTCAACTTAGAAAAAGTTTGAGGAAGATCATGCGGCAAAAAGGGCAGGAAAAAAGTGGCATTGTAGGAAGCTCTATGGACATTTTAAACAGCACACCACAGCAACTCAAAAGCACAATGAAGGGGTAGAAAACAGAAAAAAGCCGTTTCCCTCAAAAGTGGCTCAACCACACTTTGCTAACTTGACACAAGCAGGTTTGTATGAACAGATAAATAAATTCTGCTAGCAGCTGGTTACTAAAACAGGTCTGTCTGATGCAGTTAAAACATTGCTGCAACTGATTTGAGCTGGTTACATACTGAATAAACTTGAAACTCAATCCAGGAAAAGTAGGAGGGAGCAAAGGTGAGGGACAGTTGGCACAGTAGAATCATAACCCAGAAAGCACAATCAAATCCTGTCTTGAACTGTTTTTAAGCTGTATTGGAGAAGTGGATGGATTCAGGTGAAAACCACACATTTGATGAAGCGTTGGGTCTCCTTTGGCAGCTGGTGGCAAGAGTTAGCATGAGGCAATCCCTCATTACATTGAGCTGGAAAAGTGACTTACCATCCTGTGTTGTTTTCCTTCTTCCAGCTGATCAGGAGGTGTAAAAAAAGCAACCCAGCACAAAGGCTGACTTTTGAGCAAGTTAAGAAGTTGCTGTATAAGATGAATCCAAACAAAGTGAGCCCCGTCGACATGATGATGACATTGGTAAGAATCATGGGATGGTTTCTGGTGTAACTAAACAGAATGGCTTTTGGGGATACTTGAAACATGCAAAAAATATTCTGCTGTGAAATGAAGACAAGAGGGCTGTAAAGAAAGTGGGTATAGGTCATGTTTTAATGGGAATAATGAAGTGGCTGACCCTCATGGCAGTCATGACAACAGCAAAACCAGCAAGCTAGGGGGCCTCTGTCTATTCCAGGGACTCCACAGGTATACACAAAGAGTGGCCATGGCTCAGTGGCAGTTCCCTCTAAGCTGAGTTAGTGTGAGCTAGCTCACAGTCTTTTAGCCTCCGGCTCATGCATCTTTGTCTTCGCCTAGGAAGGACGGCTCCAGAGCAAACTAATTTATGCAGTCGCCAAATCGCTCACTCACAGCTTTAATGCCAGTAACTCAAAAAGTAGAATTTTTGCTCACAGGACTCCACAGCTTAGAGAGAACATTGCTCAGTGGTAGGACATCTGCTTTGCATGTAGAAGGTTCCAGGTTTAGTCCCCAGCATCTCCAGCTGAAAGGATCTCAGGTAGTAGGTGAGGTGAAAGACCTCCATTTGAAACTCTGGAGAGCTACTGCCTGTCAACGTAGACAATATTGACCTTGATAAACCAAGTCCAACTCAGTATGAGGCAGCTGCCTGTATGTTCAGAAAAATATGACTTCATAAATTAAACAAAAGGGGAAACAATTATCTTGATAAGAACTAAACATGTGTCAAGAGGGACAGAATGTTGAGGGTAAGTTAAAAGAAACGGAGGGGGAATTAGCTCATCCAGATCCCTGAAATCATAGAGAAGGGGGAAACTGGAGGGAGATTTCTCCCCTTCCTGAAATTTCTATTGTATTGCAGTGCCTTGTGTTGAGTTCCAAGGTGGTGTAGTGATTAGAGTCCAAATTAAAGAGCCCAATAGTTAAAGAAATGAATATAGAATATAAGTATACATCAATTATATAAAAATGCAGATATTTATTACAAGATATGTAAAAAACAATTACAGGCCCTAATATAGCCTCCATTTAGATTAAAATCATAAGAGTACTCTCAAACAAAGTTCTTATGCAACCCTGACCAAATGTGTTTTGGCCCTTAGGCCTTCTTCAGTGGTCAAGCATAACAATTACACAACGGCTCCAGACACTGCAGAAACATTGCAATAATTAATCAATATGGGACCAAGCTGGGATTGTGTTTTAATCAATATCAAGATACGCTTAGGAGGCCTCATTTAAAATCACCTTCTGCCCAAGTCAGGTACACGTATCTTGAATGGTAGTTCGATTGTCTGCTTTCCTAATCTTGGTCCAAGGAAATCAATCCAGAGTGCAGTATGGAACCAATGCGGTGCAGCAATGTATAGGGTTTTTTTTTAAATTGTAATTAATACTTGTATTTTTGTATAATTGATGTATACATCTATATTCTATATTCATGTATTTAAATATTGGACCCTTTAACTGGGATTCCTTAATTCATCTTTTTGGGTCAAGTTTTTCTTCCCTTCTTTTTGTTCTTGTAGTGACTAGAGTGTTAGATTCTGTCTGTCTGTCTGTCTGTCTGTCTGTCTGTCTGTCTGTCTGTCTGTCTGTCTGTCTGTCTGTCTGTCTGTCTGTCTGTCTGTCTGTCTGTCTGTCTGTCTGTCTGTCTGTCTGTCTGTCTGTCTGTCTGTCTGTCTGTCTGTCTGTCTGTCTGTCTGTCTGTCTGTCTGTCTGTCTGTCTGTCTGTCTGTCTGTCTGTCTGTCTGTCTGTCTGTCTGTCTGTCTGTCTGTCTGTCTGTCTGTCTGTCTGTCTGTCTGTCTGTCTGTCTGTCTGTCTGTCTGTCTGTCTGTCTGTCTGTCTGTCTGTCTGTCTGTCTGTCTGTCTGTCTGTCTGTCTGTCTGTCTATCTATCTATCTATCTATCTATCTATCTATCTATCTATCTATCTATCTATCTATCTATCTATCTATCCATCCTTAGCCCATCCTCTCCTGCACAGCAGGCTCAGACTGGGTTACAACATGGTTAAAACATACAACAATACAGTCCATCATAAAAATCTATAAAATCACTACCTAAACAATCAGCACAATTCTAAAACATTTCTAAAGTGCTTGATGGCATCTGCTACCCAACTAAATCCCAAAGGATTCGGGTTGTGAGTAACTGTAGATTAGGACCTGGAAGACCCCAGTTCAAGTCCCCACTGTGCCATGAAACTTGCTGGGCACCATGGCTCATCTGTTTATCATGATGCAAGGGCTTGAAATGGTGTGGTTTTGTGATGAGTAGAATTACTTCTGTAAAGTCACAGCTGTGCAAAAAAACAAATGTACAAGCTTTTCTTCAGAATTTTGACAGCAATGTGAGACTGAGGGGCTGAGGCTTCACAGCTGATTATCTCTCCTGGAACATCCTCAGAGGAGTCCTCAGAGACATATTTGTTTGACTCCCTAGATGGAGAAATACAGCAAACATTTGGAAGTGTTAGTATCAGAAAGGACACAGGACTTAGTGCATGAAAAGCAGAAGACGGACCGTTTGTTATACAGTAAGTGATCAATATCAGTGGGAATGCTGGGTACCGTGTTACGAGTGGAAGCTACTAATATGAGGTTTGGATAAAGAGAGATTTTAGCATACATTTGTGGGTCTTAAAACTTTATCATACGGAGGGGCTTCTGTATTGATTTTGTCATTTTTTGAAGATCAGCATATTTTCCCCACAATTACTATTGTGGCATGATGCTTGAAAGGAGGCCCAATTAAATATCAGCTGCGACTACATTTGTTGCTTTTGACCACATGTAAGCAAACTATGTACAGCATGGTTTTTTGGCGTATTCTTGTCATTTTCTGTCCAAATGCTTTCAGTTTGAATCATTTCAAGATACCGGGAGGCCTACCATTAGTATGTTAATAAAACCTAGCTGGGAGGGAGTAGCAGGTTGGACTCAGGAGCTAGTGAATTCCTTGTGGAGAGAGGAAATGATTCCAATTGCCTTGAAGAAGGCAGATGTGAGACCACTTCTAAAGATTTTCTTCTTGGATCCTGATGATTACCTCAGCTGTCAGTTGGTCACTAATCTCACTTTTGGGGCTCAAGCATGTGGCAGCAGCTCAGTTCCAGATGTTCTTGCATGAAGCAGATTATCTAGGTGCATTTCAGTCTAGTTCCTGGCTAGTTTTTGACCTGAAACTACCTTCAGGGCAGAATTATACGTCTGCTGGGAACCTGAGCCGGTGTTTGCATTACATGAAAGATTCCAGATCAATAAAATAACAATAAACACAGGGCGCAAAGTCATGGACCCTAATATAAATTTACATTGGCTGCTTTGATAACAAAAAAAAATATTCTTGTTGTAGTTAACTACAGGTTTTGGTTGCATGTATTTATTTTGCTGGCATGGGATAGAACATCTGCTATGCATGCAGAAATCCCCAGGTTCAATCCATGTCGTCTCCAGCTAAACAAATCAGGCAGTAGGCGATATGAAAGAGAGCTGCTGCCCGTCAGGGTAGTCAACAGTGACTTTGATAGATCAGTGGTCTGAGTCAGTAGAAGGCAGCTATAGGTAGAAGGAAGCTTTATAAAACAGCTTCATGTGCGCACTATGGGCAAAACTGGACGTGACAACATCCTCGTGGCTGCCATTTAAAAGTCATTTTAAGATGCTGCGGATGGGGCCAGCAGCATGTTGCTCTTGCTCTCCCTGCACCGTTTCAAGTGCCAAAACAGCTGTGGGGGGGCAGTTCAATGGAGGGAGGGGGACAAGAATGCCTCAGTCTGCCATGCTGCAGGTCCTTGACAAATTTCAAAATGGCAACAGCATCCTCATGGTGGCCATGAAGACACTGTCATGTCTAGTCGGGCCCTGTGTACATGTACAACTTGAACTTTACTGGTCTTTTGATGATGATGATGATGATGATGATGATGATGATGATTTGTGTTTATTACACAAAACAGGCATGTTGCCAAAACAGGTAGCAGACGACTTAAGGCAAGGGAAGCAATCACAAGCTCAGAGTTACATAAATGCTACCATCTTTTTTAGGTAAGTGGGAATAAACCAGCAATAGGCTGTGTACAGATCAGAGCGTGTTTTTTTCCCCCCAGATGTGGACATGTTTCTGTGGAGCTGCAGTGCCCATGCCTATGGAATACATCAGGGGTCCCCAGCCTGTTTGAGCAGGATGGTACCTTTAGAATTCTGACACTGCATGGGTGGGCGCGGAACGGCTGCCTCAGGAGGTGGAATCACACAAAATGTCAGGGGGTGATAATTTCAGTTAATAACTGTAATTGTAACTCTTTAACGTTATGGGCAGAAGCTCTGTTTTGCAGGATGTCTTTTAAAAGGAACATATTTTTTTACAACTATCTCTTTTACAGATATTACCTTGCATATGCACACACACAGTTACGCAGTGAAGAGCCTTGTGCTGTGGTGGCAATCTGCACAGCCAATCAGATCTCCAGTGGCCAATCAGAAGCCCTGATGGCAAAAGCTCTTTCTGGCCCTGCCCACTTTGTAAAAACTCTTGGCGGGTGCCATAGTGCAAACGGGCACTAGGTTGGGGACCCCTGGTATACATATTCATGTTTGTGTCCTTCCAAACCTGGCTTTGCAGATACATTGTTATCACCCAGCTTCTCCTGGAAAAGTTGAAACAAGCCTCTAGAAATCTGACATGCAACAGGGTTGCTATAGACAAGTGTACATTTTGGAGTGACTCTCATGAGTGCATGTGATGAATAATGCAATTTTCCTGTGTCTACAGTATCTGGTACACTTAGGGAAATGTTTGTTTATTGTTTATTTATTGAGTACATGAAAGAATATATCCACATTTGCCCTCTATGTGCTGGGGAGGGGGAATTTACAAGCCCCCTTGGGAGCAAAATTAACTAGACCTGATGAGAGCTAGTCAATTTCAACATTCCTTTGACCTGGCTGCAATTAGGAACTGCCAAAAGGAAGCAAACTCTTTTCTTTTTTTCAGTTCCTGCCTTTGTACAGTTATAAAGCGACTGAAGCTGGATGGGAGCTCACAGCACATTAGCAATAAGGGAGGAGCAGCTCTCATTACTCTAGAGAAATAATTTTCTGTTAACAGCTTTACATTTTAAAAATTGATCTTTTTTCTGTTTGGGAGGGACCATCATTTAGAATTAGTATGAATTGCACATTTCCAGATCCAGCAAGCAAGCTCATTAAAATTCTGCAGATTAATGTCTACTGATGTATGCTTGCATCTGCTTGCCTACAGATGGTTATGAGGCCGGGATGGACAACATCGAGAGATTTATATGCCCAACAGATGTAACTCTAGCATATAGATAAGAGGTTATGAACTCCCCTTGTAAATGAAGTTTAATTGATTCAGTGCTCTTCTTGGCACCAGACAACTCTTTTTGTCCTGTCAACAAATGTGCATCAAAGATTTTTTTAAAAAATCATTAAGATCCCTGGACACTCCAACTGAGAATCTGTCCAACTAAGTCCATAAGTGGTTTCCTCCTCTCTTCAAGGAATGGGGCATCCTTTTATTCACCTCCCACTGCTTATGGATCTACCTCTGCTACTGAAATGAGTGGGAAAGCCTTTCTCAGTAGGGGAGCTCTGTGTGGCTATTGGAGCTCTTGCCAATTTGCCACAGGGCGGGTGCTGGAGCAAGGGCAAAACTGGTTGGGCGGGAAAAAGCTTGGAGGGACATTGAGGGGAGTGTCGGAGAACTCACAATTTATTAAACAAAAACTATCACATACTGAAAAGAAAACACAATTCTATTCCCTGTTGCAGGGACACACTGGAACTAAAATAGCCTTTATTTTTAAAAAGCCCTGTACCATTAGTTTCAGCCTATTACTTAAAATTGGCTATTGCCAATTAATCAAATAAGGCTTTTGTGGACCAACAGTGTGATCCTATGCTGAGTTACTCAACCTTAAGCCCTTTTCTTTCAACAGGTTTGGAGTGTTGTATCTCTAGCTCTGCAGATAATTGCACAAGGAGAAAAATACCAATTAAGCTGATTAAAGTTTACAACTACATTTACAAGCAGTAACTGCATCGCCCCATACCCATATAACTGTGAACTATTTAATTAAATTAAAGCTGATATTCCCAGGGTTCTATGTAATGTACTGTATATTATGCTGCAAACCAAATTTCACCCTCTGCAGCACATTCTCTGCTGTGCAGATGCCCTGGCATTAATACTCAAGCTGAAGCTATACTGGGTGCTATGTGTTCAAGGTCACATCCTTATAATGTTGTAACCTGCCATTTGGATGGTTCAAAAGAGTTAAAATAATCCCTATAGGGAATTATTTGAGGGTTTGGGTTTTGGATGGATGGGAAGGGGGGATTGTTCAACACATAGTCTTTGAAATGCGTCATTAATGTTTGCTGCTATTTTAAAATGTGTTCAAAAAATACATAATTTCTTAACCATTTCTTAATGAAGTTTGTTCTTTCTTCCTTGCCAGTGATATTGTTGGTTTCACTCAGCTTTCTAGCAGTAGTACACCTTACCAAGTGGTCGACTTCCTAAACAAACTCTACACTGCCTTTGATGAAATCATAGACAACTACGATGTCTACAAGGTGGAAACTATAGGAGATGCTTGTGAGTGCTTAAGAACAGCACTTCCTCTGAACCAAGATCTTGTTTGTAAAACTCAGAATGAGAGATGAAAGACTAAAAAAAAGTGCATCCAAACCAGTAAATGGACTTAAAAACTCTGCTTGATAACACTAAAAACACCACTAAACACCATAGAAGGGGGGGGGACACTAAAACACCATAGAAGGGGGGGGGGATAACTTACCTGGCTAAATGTAACCTTTGTCCAGTGACTTATCAAGGGTAGGCTGTTTATTCAGTATGTGAGCCAGGAAATTCTCAGTTCAGTCACAGATTTAACTTGGTGACATAAGACAAGCCACAATGTCTTAGCCTAGTGCACATCTGTATATTGGGGTTTGATAGAAGTGGCCTCATTTACAAGGCTTGCTCATGTAATAGGTAAATGGGTTGGATTCAGTAGAAATTTCTTCTGATGGAGGGAGCTCAAGCTGTTGTTAGCCCCTCTAAAGACAACATAGATGCCTATCCCCCCCCCACCCGGCCAGGGTTTTATTTTATTTATTTATAAATTAAATTTATGAATCGCCCAATCCCTGAGTTCACAGGGCTCTGGACGATGTACAGTAGTAATCAAAACACAACATGAACATTCAGTACGATCTTAAAAACAATTCCCAGTTGGCGTCCATGAGTCGAATCTTAAGCCAGTTCCAGATTGTGTTGCTGCCTCATAGGCAGGACTGGGAGGAGGCCGAAAGAAAAAATATGGAATAAAGTGGACAGTCCACATGGCTGCTTTGTTCCATTAAAACTTGTTACTCCACAGATAGCTGCTCCAGTGCAGATAGCTGCTCCAGTGCAATCATCTACAACTTAATTATTGCAGTTGGCTTTCGGGTTAGTAATAAAGCTGGTGTATGAGTAGTAGTTGCAATAATCAAACTGATTTATTCCCTTCATTTTTTTAGATATGGTTGTGTCGGGAGTGCCCAAGGAGAATGGAATCCGTCATGCTAGTGAAATTGCAAGTATGGCTCTCGACCTTGTCTCAGTGTGCAAGACGTTCAGAATTCCACACAAGCCCAATATGCAACTAAAAATCCGAGCAGGAATACACTCAGGTACGAGGGTCAGCAGAACTGCTGAGATGCCATAATGGTAGATGGCCAATGTCTGTAATGAAATGTTGACTTTGGAAAGGTGAAATGCTGATCAGGAATATCAGCCTAGGCCAATATTCTTAGATATATTTGCAATATATATTTACCTAGATTTTCGATCATTAGAGGTGAGTTCATTAGGAATCAGAGTGGGATGGCTTCCTGAACTCATAGGATGTGTCCAGACATTATCCTGGATGGGGGGGGGGACAGGAAGTGCAACAGGAAGTACCTAATTAAAGAACTTCCTGTTATAAGGAGGGTTGGCATTCGTGTTCTTCTTTTGGCAACTCTGTCTCACATTCTGATGCTGCTAGTCCATACACTCTTGCAGTGACTGAAATGGAAGTCTCCCACTCACACATAAGTGTTTTGTGTACATTTGATGCTCTGTGAAAAGTACTGAGACTTACTAGTGAATTCAGCTCTCATACTTTATTAGGTGAAGAACAAGACAAAGTTCCCGGCTCACAGGCCGGCTTATATTTGCAACAACCCCCCCCCCACACACACACACCAGTATAGGCTATTTACAGTGGTGGAGAGTTCCATAGGCTCTCGCCCGGGAGCCTAGCCCTCTGATTGGTGCGGACTAGGATTCGCTTGACCCATTGTCTCTGGAAGTGAAGCTTGGGCACTTCGCATGACCGCATGGAGACCTAGCTTTGCACACAGTCGGGAATGAATACATTACACTCTGCTTAAGCACTCCTATCGCTGACAAAACATTCTGGTTGAAACACTTCTCATGATGGATTGAAAGGCACCAGTTACAGAAATTCTGTCCCTGCTTCTATCACCACTTGCTTTATCTGCTAAATATCCATATTGCAGTCATAGCCATCACACTGAAGGCAGGCCTCTTTTGAGGCTGTGTGGGAGTCGTGGGATGAATGTTCGTTTGAGGCCTCACTGCCTTCCTTATGCTCTGTGGTCAGTGCCATTTTTTAAACATCTAGGATTTTTAAAAAGAGAAATGTATATAATCATTTACCCATTGTCTCTGGAAGTGAAGCTTGGGCACTTCGCATGACCGCATGGAGACCTAGCTTTGCACACAGTCGGGAATGAATACATTACACTCTGCTTAAGCACTCCTATCGCTGACAAAACATTCTGGTTGAAACACTTCTCATGATGGATTGAAAGGCACCAGTTACAGAAATTCTGTCCCTGCTTCTATCACCACTTGCTTTATCTGCTAAATATCCATATTGCAGTCATAGCCATCACACTGAAGGCAGGCCTCTTTTGAGGCTGTGTGGGAGTCGTGGGATGAATGTTCGTTTGAGGCCTCACTGCCTTCCTTATGCTCTGTGGTCAGTGCCATTTTTTAAACATCTAGGATTTTTAAAAAGAGAAATGTATATAATCATTTTTATTATTATTATTTATTAAATTTATGAATCACCTCATTCCTGAGTACACGGGGCTCTGGGCAATTTACAATAAATGAGCATACAAAATACAATATAAAATCAGCAATCAATTAGTCCTGAAATTTCAGTCTTCATATGGCATCTATAATTTAATCTAAAACCTGCTCTGGACTGTTCTTCCATCTCATGGGCAGGTTAAGAGGAGGACAAAGCTGGAAAGATGGGGAAAAAAGAAAAGAAAAGAGGAGGGTGCCAGCTATGGTGGAAAGAAACCGTTGCTGTCCTCAACCAAAAGCCAGGTGGAACATCTCTGCCTTACAGGCCCTGCAGAATTGCATTAAGTCCAGCAGGGTCCTGATGGAAGTTGGCTGAGAGTTCCACCAGGCAGGAGCCAGGGCGGAGAAGGCCCTGGCTCTGGTTGAGGACAGCCGGATGTCTTTGGGGCCAGGGATCACCAGCAGATTACTCTCAGCAGAGTGTAATGCTATCCCAGGGACATACCAGAAGAGACAGTCCCGAAGATACACTGGTGCCAGACCACTCAAGCAGGGCTCTAGGCCTTCACCTAGAGCGCGAGCCAGCCGTTGGGGTGTGGGAGGAGAGGCAGGGGCGGCCACCTGCAGCCCAGCCAGGGCAAGAAGGGCGAGGGAAGGGGGCCAAGGGGAGCGTGGCAAGGCAGGCAGACAGGGAGCCAATCCCCGGGGCTGCTGCCAGCCCGCCGGCCAATCAGCGCCCCCGAGCAGGAAATCCCGGCGTTGCCGCCCGGCGAGGTGCTCCTGGCCGGCGCTCCTCCTCTGCAGGTGGGGAAGAGGTGAGGGGCCCCGTCAGGCCGGACTGCAGGGCTGGGTGGTGGTGAGGGGAGGGAGGGTGCGTGGTTGGGGGCGGGGGGCAGGCAAGGCATACCTCCCCCCTGGCCCGCCGCTGCTCATGGTCCTGGGGGGGAGAGGCGCGGCTGAGCGGCTGCCTTATCTGCTCCCTGGCTGGGGGGGGGAGGACAGCCGGCCAGTCCGCCCGCCCGCGCCAACCAGCCAGTCTCCACTTCCTGCTCTCTGGCTCGGCTGGCAGTCGGTGGGTGCCGGAGCACGGCTGGGCTGCGCTGGGGGGGAGGACGGGCCCCCCTTGGCCAGCTCCCTGGCCCGCTGCCATTGTCCGTCTGTCGGAGCATGCTTGGAATGGGCAGCTCTGCATTGCACCCTCGCCGGGAGGAGGCACCAGCCCGAAGGAGGGAGCTGCGGGGAGGGGGGGGAGAGGAGGCGAGCAAGCGTGCACAGCTCTGACTCCTCCAGCTTCCTTCCCTCCCTTTCTCCTCCCCTCGGCCGGGCCGGCCTCACCTCCCTCCTTTCCTCGCTCCTTCCCTCACTCTCCCGCCCTCCCCGCACACGCCGGCTGGTAGGTGGGGGGGAGGAGGGGGACGCCGCCGCTGCCTGTCGGGCAGGAATCCTGGATGGGTGGGAAGGACGGCGGCGGTCCCTGCCTCGGCCAGAGGGCCCGCGGTGGCGCATCAAAGGCGGCCTGGGCGCAACACCCTCTTCCCCCGTCGCGGCCAGCATGGCAGGGCAGCAAGGCAGAGAGAGAGAGGGGGGCCACCAGCCCGGGGAGGGGTGTGTGTGCACGCAGAGGGGGAGGTCGCTTGCGGCCGGTGGGGGCGGCTGGGCTGAGCTGGGGGGGGAGGAGGACAGCCCGCCTACTAGCCCTCCTGCCAGCCGGCCACCGCCTCCGCACTTCCTGCTCCCTGGGTGAGCCTCCTCCCAGCCTGCCCCCGGAGGAGAGGTCTCCAGGCCCCGCCGGGAGGTTGGCATCTGTGCTCGCCTAAAGCGCAGGACAACCTCAGGCCGGCCCTGCACTCAAGGCCTTAAAGGTCAATACCAACACCTTGAATCTGACTTGGTACTCCACTGGAAGCCATCTGTATTTAGAAACCATCTGTATTTGACAACAGAAATTAACATGTGTAATGGTTTAAAGTTTGATTTGTGTGTTTCTTTAAATGTTTGGTAAGTTGCAGAAGAACAAGGGGGGTTGAAAGAGGGAGATGAATGAGTGAGGTGATTGATTGATTGATGACTACGAGTGTATGGGCGGAGCTAAGAAGTGTGTGTGGAGAAAGTCAGTCAGTGTGTTCAGTCAGCAGTTAACTGTCAGTGGTGGTCAGTCAGCAGTCTACAGAGTCTGAGAAGTAGTCTTATTAGAATCCTGTATTAGTGCTTTGAAAGGTATTTAAGATTCTAAAAAGGAAGTAGAATACTTTAGAGGACAAATTAGCAACTGGAGAGACTCAGACCCTAATATTGTCAAAGTGTTATCAGGGTATGAGAGACAGAAGCTGACAGAAACCGGAGTTAAAAAGGGAAAGATTAAACTGAGCTAAATAAAATAAAGACCAGATAAAGTACATTCTGAAGAGAAAGGAGGATTTGAGAGCGAGGAGTCAGAAGTTATTAACATACACTGTTTATTTACTGAAGAGTCAAGTTACAAAACATCTTGAAACCAATATGCTTCTTATACAAATAAAGTTTTATTTTGTTTATTGTTAACCCAGAGTCCCATGCTATTTTAATACTAGAGTCTCATCCTCAGGACCACATAGTTCAATGAAGCTGCCTTAGAGCATGAGTACAATAATTGGGAAAGTTTAATTAATAGGGTTGGAATTAAATTCCTGGTGGCAGTGTTACATACCAAGAGAGAGAGAGAGAGAGATAAATAACAAGAAAGTTAAAGACACACCATATCTAACCACACAAATTAAAAGAGAAGTCGTGACAACGTGTTAGCATGCTAACATTCTGCATTCTCCAAAAATCAGAAAGACGGTTTAAAAAATTGACTTGCAAAATACAAAACTTCCCTCTGCAAATGGGACACTTCCATGGTTTGACAGCTTTTGAACCTTTAGTTAAGGGGATTTTTTTGGGAAAGTAGCAAAATAGTGCCCCTCAGGAACTAGAGCTGAGCCAGTAAATGTTTCTCTTTGCTGCTGGTTATGATAAAAGCTCCTTCACCCCATCCTTCACCCAGGCTATTAGCCCAGCTATTGGTGCAGGGTTAGGGATATGGGGGATAGAAGGATTTTAATAGGCTGTATGTTGCCCAGAAAAACAGGACAATAAGAACAGATTCCTCTGCTAACAGAAGTGGCCGAGTAAATGGAACACAGGGCAGCCTTAGAGCATAGAAATTATTCATGGTACAAAAATTGTATTTCAAATGACCAATATTACTGCTTTGGAAAGAAAAAGATGTAACTGGTTCAGACATGGAAACCCACTGTTTGTCAATGCCGAGGTGACCCTCTTCATATAGGAAGGTCCAGACAACTGTTCCTCTTAAAGGAAAGGTCTTCCCCTCCACTACACATGCACACCTTGTATGCAGAAGGTTGCCACCCTCTGGCCTCACTCTTTTTGTCTGTGGTCACACTTGTCATTTGGAGCAGAGGGGAAGCACCCTATTTCCTCCGAAGGAATTCGACTCGCAGTTGCGAGATCACACATTCCTTTGTGCTCAGCCTGCCACTGTGTGATCAGATGCCACTGTGTGCGAGTGGTAGGGGTTGCCGTTTATTTCCCATGCGCATAAACGAGAAATCGCACCTCCACACTGAGGGTTCCCCATGGAGTATGTGATTATGTGAAAACTGCTAAGCGGGGGGCGGGGACCAGCACCAAGTCGGGATGGAATGATCAGACCATCCCAATGGCTTGAGAGTGTGCTCTAGTGATCAAACAGGGGAAAGTCTGTCCATAGCCCATTGGCAAGCATTAGGACCAGACTTTCCTCGGTGTCTTTTAACTCCACTTCTGTGGCGGAGCAGCACAGGTTGCCGAAGAGTGCAGGATCTTTCCTAGATGTTGCCGTCTGATCATGCCCTTTAGATCCATCAGGCATTCACAGCTATGTCTGATCTAAAGGCACATGTGACCATAGGCGTAATCTTCGTGGGGGCGTCGGGGCGTCAGCCTCCGCCGAAATTTTCAGGAAGGTGCTCAGCCTCCCCCGGGAGCCACCCTTGCTCCTAGCAAAGCAATGCCTCTGGCCCAGCCCCAGCCCCCCCCCCGGGAAATTGGAAAGTCTACACCCTTGCATGTGACTGCAACCTTTCTTGCCCTTTCCATTCTTTCTTATTGATTTAAGTGTCAGACTAGGATCTGGGAAACCCAGGTCCAAATCCCCACTCTGCCATGGAAGTTTGCTGGGTGACCTTGGGCCAGTCACGCACCCTCAGCCTAACCTACCTCACAGGGTTGTTGTGAGGATAAAATGGAGGGGAGGGGAATGATGTACGCTGCTTTGGGCCACCATTGGGGAAAAAATAAATTAAATCCTCTTTCTTTTGTTTAATGCAGTGAACCCTCACTAGATAGTATCCCGCATGCCACAGCTATCATTTTATTCTACATTGTGATGAACGGCAATAAATAGTCATTGAGCTCAAGAATCTTTGATTTGTTTGTCGTCCCCAGGGCCAGTTGTGGCTGGTGTGGTTGGAACAAAAATGCCACGGTACTGCTTATTTGGGGATACCGTCAACACTGCCTCTAGGATGGAGTCTACCAGTGAAGGTAACAGCATTGCTGAACAGATCACCACGTTTTAGATATTCACTATAATGTCATGACATCAATGCCAATTCTTTCTTCATTATAGGAAAAATCACATCTCAGGAACATTGTAGAAATATTTTCAGATCCTTAGAGAAGAAGGGACGATTATCTTTTTCAGGCTGTGGGGAGAAGCAGTTTGCTCCCCAGTTAGGCTTCCTGGCAGCCTCAGGCTCTGCTGGGAATTAAGTAATTGCTGCCCAACCTTCTTTTTCCAACAGAGGCCGTGCCAGGAGGGTTGAGTAAAAATCTACATGCTATTTGCTCTTTTGGGACCACCAGCGTTGTTCCCCTTGGCTGGCCCAAACACAAGCATCCCCTCATCACTGCATCCTTGAGGATAACCTATTTGTAACGTACAGGGCTTTTTTTGTAGAAAAAGCCCAAGAGGAACTCATTAGCATAATAGGCCACACCCAACAGCAGAAATGCATTAGCATATTAGGCCACACCCCATGCCTTCCCTTGGCTTGCCCAGGTGCCCCATGGCTGCAGGGAGCCCGGGCAAGCCCCCCCTTGAAGGGAAGGCAGTTTATTCCCTTGGCTTGTCCCGGCGCCCCGCAGCTTCGGGGAACCCAGGCAAGCCAGCCCTTGGAGTAGCCAGGGGGGGTCGCTCTCCAGGCATTCCCTCTGTATCTACACATGTAGAGGTTTGGGCTGGTAGGCGTGGCCAACTCTGAAGTCAGCCGAAACTCCGTTCCTGTGCGTTCCTGCCCAAAAATAGCCCTGGTAGCGTATTCATCCAAGCTGCTTTCTGTTCAGCATAGGATTCTGTTCAGTATTGCATAGGACTTCTTGCTTTCTTTGGATGTGGCTCTTAGTGCTCCCTTGGTTCATAGCAATGCAACGATTTTCAGTTTAATCAAGGATAGTCCTTATTCTCTACTTCTGGACAAGTCCCTGCCCCCACAAAAGGAGGGAGGGAGAAAGAGCCAGCCAGTCCCACACTTCACACGGCTTGGCTGGGCACCTCTCACAGCTCTGCCAGGTCTGGGCATGGCCATCTGCACGTTGTGCCTGGCTCTTGCAAGCTGGGCATGGCTTGTGCTGGCTGAAAGCCTCCTTCCCTGGGCCAGATGCAGTTTGCAAGGGCTGACAGCTGCTTTTCCCAGGCCACACATGGTCCTTCTATCCTGGGCTGGACAGGCCAAGTAGGGGGGCAGGCCTTTGGTCCACCAGGAAATCCCCCCATGGCTACAGTGGCCAACCAGCCCTTGTACTCTGATCAAGACTAAATGAAAGGGGGATGGCTTGAAACAACTTCAATGTAAAACCAAAAACTAAAACATCTTGTACAGCAGCTTCTAAGCCTTGTTCCAGAACAAAGCAAATCCACAGACTCCCAATCCTGTTACAGTTATTAAATTTAATGGGATGGGTTGGATTCAACAACACCATGTTTCTGCAGGTGAAGGGACTTTCACACGTGGAATGTGACTTTCATGGCTCCACCAGGGACCATTCTGTGCAGTCGTGGAAAGGGGAAGCTATTCCATGGGTGGAAGTCCTTGCACTCTCAGAAATGCACCGTTGGCACTACCCCATCGACCTTTAAGTATAACTCCTATCCCTACAGGTACTGCTTTTCACTTGATCGCATGGTGTTCATTTGTAGTTTTTTGAAGACCAAGGGTAACACAGCATAACTCTCTCTTGCTCCTTTTGATTCAGTCAGTGCTCTTTCCTAAATGAATACCAGTCAGGGAGCAGTTCTGGCAGGTCAAAAGGCAAGGTGCCACTTCTCGTGTGGTGAGGGCTACTCCAAGTAGAAACAGGTCACCTCTCATTTTTCTGCTCACGGGGACTCCTGTCAGGTGAGAAGCGGAATCTTGCAGGTCACAGATAGCTCAGAGATGGAGGCAGGAATGGGCCTGTGGGTAGGCAGTTGGCCATCCTTACCATACCCAAACCAATATCTATTCCCACAGAAGCAGGAAGGGCTTCAGAGGAGAATGTACAGTCTACTCCTGCTCAAGTCCCATTAGAAGCATCAGCATCATGCACAGCTGTCATTCATTTCAAAGGGATACACAGGAGAACTTCTTGGTGGATTGTGGCCATTGAAACTAGGGTTGAGGGCAGGTAGAAAAGGCAGCTCTAAGTGGAACTGCATGGAAGAGTCTTCACTGGCGGATGGAAGGGCTCTTTTTGTAGCAGGAACTCCTTTGCATATTAGACCACACCCCCTTAATGTAGCCAATCCTCCAAGAGCTTACAGAGTTCTTCTTACAGGAGCTACTGTAAGCTCTTGGAGGATTGGATACATTAGGGGTGTGTTGCTTAATATGCAAATGAGTACCTGCTACAAAAAGATTGGGTTAACTTGTCATCAGCTATAAGGACTTGAGACATAGCTGGAGGGATAATGGTATGGGCCCTTTGTTGATAGCTGTGTATGCATGTCCTGAGGTGACCCAAAGAGACACTAAAGAAATCTTAGGGCTCCTCTGTGAGAACATCAATGGGCAGGGCTGTAGCGGTAAACACATGAGGGGGTACTCTGTACTGTAACACTGTTTGTGAGGCAAGTGGTCACTATTTGTGATTAGTTTCTTTTTTAATGGATACAGACTTGTGAGGTGGGAGGTACAGCATCTCTCAATTTTTGTCTCTTTTCCCCTTCAGCTCTCAAAATACAGTGCAGTTCAACTACATACCAGCTGCTGGAACAGATTGGAGAGTATGTATTGGTGTGCCGAGGGAATTTGCAAGTCAAGGTAAATACGGGAGTGTTTTGTGTTCAGGCTTTCCTGAAGGGGAGAAATAAGCTGCAGTCCTCTGGAAGGCTTCCATTTTAACCCCTGAAATGCCAGCATTTATCTGAGATATAGTGGTTTGGGATTCCTCCTTAAGCAACATTTCTACTACAACTAGAACTTGGCTAATGACTTTCCTGAAAACAAATCCATGTAATACCCATTATTAAGACCAATGGAAATTGCACAACACACCACGCAAGCTTTGAGCTCTCTATAATTTTTCATCAGGCTGGATGGTTAAACAAAAGTGTTGGGGGAGAAATGTTTAATGCGAAGATCTGAAGGCCCCTCATTTACACTCTGTGTAGGGTGCCAGGCAGGTGTAAATGGATACAAGTTCCACCCAGCACTACTGTATCCATTCAGACTCCAACATCTCCAGTTAAAGGGATCATGCAGTAAATCATGAGAGAGACCTTTTCCTTGAGACCCTGGAAAGCTGCTGCTAGCCAGAGTAGACAGTACTGATCTTAAGACAATAAAAAATAAGCCATGTTGAATCAGGCCAATGGCCCATCCAGTCCAGCACTCTGTGTCACGCAGTGGCTCAAACCCAGGTGCCATAAAGAGGTCCACCAGTGGGGCAAGAACTCCAGAAGCCCTCTCACTGTTGCCCCCCAAGCACCAAGAATACAGAGCATCACTGCCCCAGACAGAGTGTTCCCTCTATACCTTGTGGCTAATATGGACCTCTGCTCCATATGTTTATCCAATCCCCTCTAAGTGGTCTGTGCCTGTGAAATACCTCTCCCTTGAGGCGCATCTGGTGCCTACTTTACAGTCCTTCAGGTGCCAGGTTTCGGGCCAAAATATTTCTTTCTACTCAGGTGTAGAAAGGGTGTTCTATAAAAAGGGTTCCATCTTCATTTTGGTGGGGTTTTAATGGCTTTCTGACCTGACTTGTTGAATGTATTTTTAATTCCCATCTTGTTTTGCTGTGGGTTTCTTTGTTTTTTTGGTTTTTATGGTTTGATTATATTGTTGTTACTTTGTGAGCTGCCTTGAGTAGGTTTCTAGAGTGGCAGAATATAAATTCTCTAAATAAATAGGTAATCCCTACTTGCCATGAAATTTAATGGGTAACCTTTGCCAATCACTCTCTCTTACAGGGTTGTTGTGGGGTTAACAGGGAACCATGAAGAACCATGTGCACCACCATGAGCAACTTGGAGGAAGGGAGGGATAAAAATTGCACCAAATAATTTTCCCCCCAGCCAGATCTGTCAACAGATTAAGGAAGTTTTAGCTGATTACCCACTTGCCTTTTAGCTGATCAGTCTTCACTGTAATTTCATTTGTTATTCAAAGTTCTTCTTTTGAAACAAAGGAAGCACATGGAACAAATGACAGCTTCCATTCCTTCTGATGTTTCTTTTTACATTCTCTGCCACAGTCACACATAAGAACTCAAGTATCATTGAGATATCCTTTTTCTCCTTAACTTGCAGTCCCTACTGGTTAAACTGGCATTTTGGTTGATTAATCTTCCAAAGCAACCTTGCAGACCTAATTCCAGTGGCATTAAAATAATGACACTGAACTAGACCTTACTTTGTAGAGCTTTGTGGTCTCTATTGATATGCATTCTGTTTCTCTTTTTAGGGGAAAGGTGATATGATCACATATTGGCTGGAAGGGAAGAAGGCTGGTGCCATTCAACAGAAAGCTTTAAGTCCTTCCACAGCATCTCGATCTTCTAACCAAAATGCTTTACATCTGATCCCTGGAGTTGTGTAGAACAAACCCACCAAAAAGGATCTGGGCCTGCCAGTGGCTGCTGCTGGGCGTGGCCCTGATGAGTTTTCTCTCAAAGACCAATAGAGGCCTAGAAATGGTCCTGCCCTTTCCCCCTGCCTTTTATTAAGAGAAACCGAGGCTTGAAGGCTGGCAATAATATTGTCATTACCTAGTAACAACACAGTGACCACTGAAGAGGGCATTCGTTTCTACAATGTACAGCTTCTGATTCTATTATGGGGGGAGGTTAACCCTCCATTGTACATATCTTTTTTAAGATTTTTCTGCAAACGTTATCCACAGATGAGGTCATGTTGAGAATTAGATATATTGATATCAGAATGAGATTATTAGGAAATTTGAGGGTGGGTGTTATCAATATGCTGATGATATCCAGGTCTGTATGTCTGAGCACTCAGATGCTGCTGTCCTGAAACAGTGTCTTGACATTGTGGTTCAAGTGGCTAAGAGAAAACAAGCTGAAACGCCATTCAGATAAGATGGTGGTGATGGTGACTGATAAGGCAGACTTTCTTCAGGTAAGCAATTTGTTAACCCTAGATGGAGTAGGACTGTCATTTGCAGAAAAAGCAGAGAGCTGGAGGTGCTTTTGAACCCAAACTTGTTATTTGAAAGACTCTTTGGCAGTGTTGCTCAAAGCAGCTTTTAACAATTATATCTGATGCATCTACTCTCTTCCCCTTTGGATTCACCCATCCTGGCTACACAAATCCATGCTTTTTTACCATTACTGTTGGGTTACTGTAATGCCTTTAAAGTCCTCTTGGATGATGAAAAGACAAGGGAGACAGCTAGAATGATGGTGGAGAAAGACTTGTGACGGATCCAACAAGTTACAGTGTAGGGCTCTATGGCAGTGAAGAAACACTATTTTCCCAACAGCATAGCATCCACACAGTGTAGACTTGTGGAATTCTTCTGGTTGATTGGGGCCCATGAAAGAAGGTAGACTGCTCTGCAGCTCACTACGACTATTTTGCTTTAACAGTTTGGGGATAAAATCTCTTGAAGTTGCATCCATTCTGATTTGGACTCTATGTTAGCAGTGATAGGAACAGATGGTCCCAGAGTGGGATATCTTTTAGCTTATTCAGTCTAAGGATGTGGACAGGATTCTTGGAAGCTTGAGGCCTACCACCTGCTTGTATGGCCTGGGCCCCTCCTGGCTGCTTAATGGTGCTGGGAGAGGGGGCTGGTGGGCTGGGGCTGGGAGGACAGTAAATGCATCCTTGATAAAGGGGGGTGTTCACTCTGCCTTTAAGCAGGCAGCAGTGTGTGCACTCCTAAAGAAGCCTATTCTAGACCCAGGAGAGTTGAATAAGTGCCTAATCCTAAATGTACCATTCTTGAACAAGGTGATTGAACGGACAGTGTCTGGCCAGCTTCAAAGAAGAGAAGAGAAGAGAAGAGATTGGATTTATACCCCGCCCTTCACTTGGAGTCTCAGAGCGGCTGACAAACTCCTTTCCCTTCCCCTCCCCACAACAGACACCCTGTGAGGTGGGTGGGGCTGAGAGAACTCTGACACAAACTGCTCTTTTTCAAGGACAGCTATGCCAGAGCTTGTGACTGACCCAAGGTCACATCAGCAGGTGCAAGTGGAGGAGTGGGGAATCAAACCCGGTTCTCCCAGATTAGAGTCCGCACACTTAACCACTACACTTCCTGAATGAAGTGGATTCTCGATCCATTCCAGTCTGGCTTCAGGCATAGTTATGGGACTGAAATTTGCTTGCCCTGGTGGATGACCTGTGCCAGGATATGGGTAGGGGGAGTGTGACCCTGTTGAGTCTCCTGGACTTCTTCATGGCTTTTGATACCATTAATCATGGTATGCTTCTGGACTGCCATTCAGGGTTGGGACTGGTAGGGACCATTTTGCAGTGATTCTGATCTAAACTTGAAGCTAGGTTTCAGAGTGTGGTGCTGGGAGACTGCTGCTTAGCCCCTTGGCCTCTGGCCTAAGGGGTCCAGCAAGGTCCCATCTTGTCCCACATGCATTTAAACATCTACATGAAGCTACCGGGTGAGGTTACAGCCAGAGATTTAAGCTGAGTTGCCATCAAAATGCAGATAACACTCAGCTCTATCTCATGCTTCCAGCAGATCACAGAAAGACTGTGGAAAACATGAACTGGTGCCTAGAGTCAATTTGGGATGGATGAGGGTTAACAGGCTGAAATTTAATTCTGACAAAACGCAGGGGCTACTAGTGGGGGAAAGTTTGACCCAGTTGGATAAACAGGTAGCAGTCGTGATCTTGCCACTATGATGCATGTCCTGGTAACATCTAGATTAGACTACTGCCATGCACTCCACATGGGCCTGCCCTTGAAGATTGTGTGGAAATTACAGTTGGTACAGAATGCCACAGCCAGAATATTGACCGGAGTGATCGTAGGGACCATATCAGTCCAGTCTTGTTCCATCTATCCTGGCTCCCAATTTGATACTGGGGCCAGTTCAAGGGGCTGGTATTGACCTTTAAAGCCCCATATATGGCTTGGGGCCAGCATACAGAAAGGACTACCTGCTCCCATATGAATCTATCAGACTACTATGGTCCTCTCCAGAGGCTCTGCTTTGGGTGCTCCCACAATCCGACAGTAGCAACCTGAGAAAGGGCCTTCTTAGTTGTGGCACAAAAAGTCTGGAACCTCCCTGCCCAGGAAGATTAATCTGTCTCCCTCTATCATCTTCCACCAGCAGGTGATGACTTTTTGTTGTTGTTACATTTAGCATTCTTCATTAACTCTTTGTCCCTCCTCCCTGTTTGAGAGTTTGTGTGTTTATGGGTTAAGCTGTTTTATTTAACTGTTTGAATGTTTTATATCTGTTTATTTTAAATGCCATTTAATTAAGTTTTGATTGTTTGCTGGGTAGCATTTACAAGGGTAGAAGGGTAGCATTTACAAAATAAATAAAACTTGGAAGCTGCAAGTAGTGCAAAATATGGCAGCCTATTTGTTTTTGGGAATTTACTGATAATTACACCAAAGGTTTACCTTGGCTGCGGACACACGGAACATTAGCCACACAAGAGAGACAGAAGACAGGCAGATTTTCCGGGCGCGATCTCACTGGCACATCTGGGAAGCATAGTGCTTCCGTGGCACAACCGAGGCTTCCTGCCGAAAACACGCAGCAAAAAACTAGTACCTCGGAGGTACTAGTTTCCGGAAACCGCGGGGCAAGGGCGGGCATCTGATCACGTTTCCGGTGGCATCCGGCGCCCGCCCATGTCCCCTTGCAAAAAAAGTTTTGTTTTTTTTCCATGTCTCCGTGGATGCGCACACGTACCCAACGGAGCATGCGCATTTGTCGTGTACACACAAAAAAACCCAGTTTGCCGCACCGCGCGCTTCTTCGTTGCGCGCAGGCTTGTCCTGTGATCGGCACCTCTCCCTACCCACGGAACCTCCACAGAACCTCCACAGGAGGTCTGATCGCTTAACCGCGCGTTAGTTTGCCCCGGGGCAAACAGCCACATTTCCCCCCCCCCCGCATTTTCCTGCCCGTGTGACCGGAGCCATTATGTCTGAATTAAGCAGCAAAGTGGGGCTCTGTCTGCAATCTATTGCCAAAGCTTGAGAGGACTTCCTGTTGAAGAAGAAGAAGAAGAAGAGAAGAGATTGGATTGATACCCCGCCCTTCACTTGGAGTCTCAGAGCGGCTTACAAACTCCTTCCCCTTCCCCTCCCCACAACAGACACCCTGTGAGGTGGGTGGGGCTGAGAGAACTCTGACACAAACTGCTCTTTTTTTAAGGACAGCTGTGCCAGAGCTTGTGACTGACCCAAGATCACATCAGCAGGTGCAAGTGGAGGAGTGGGGAATCAAACCCGGTTCTCCCAGTTTAGAGTCTGCACACTTAACCACTACACCAAACTGGCTCATAGTGGAATCAAATTCTTTAGCTCTGTCATGTTGACAATCTTGAAAGTGCTGAAAAATCCCCCAGTTTGAAACCAACATGCAAAATACATAATATATGAAGCAACTATGTAACCACTATGTAAAGTATGATGATACGGTGGAAAATAGAATTTTTTTTAACGTTCATGTGTTTGTATACCCATAATTATTCCTTGCAGTGCCTACTAGATGCACCTCAGTGATGCATCCCTTTACTGACATAAAGAGTATAATTCTTTCACAGAGAACCTCAAAGCATTCTGAGTCATCCTGGAATTTAGAACAATAGCTGTGTGCTTACTCCTTGTCACGAGCTCTCTTTCATTCATAGATGGTAGCTGCTCTTCACTTTCATTCATAAACACCTGTGATGATGGATAATTTCATATGTTACAGAACTGTATGTCGGCCAAAAGCACATGGATTCACCACTGCTGCAGTGGGATCTTATTCAAGCTCCGTCAATGGCAGTTTGCTGTCAAGCCAATAAAAAGAATCCTGCTGGATTAGATGAAAGACCATCTAGTCCAGCATTCTGACTCCCACTGTGCCCAGCCAGATGCCCCAGGGAAGCTCACAAGCAGAGCATGAAGAGAGGATGTGGTATTCAGAGGACACTTTTCTCTGTCTGTAGATTAAATGATTAATGGTTCTGCTTACCTGATAGAGCACACATGGCATACAAAACAGTCTGTATCCCCAAAGCTTCATTTCACTACAGACTTCTTCCAACTTTCTACCATCAGGGATTGTAAATACCCCATGAACGCACCATCAGAGTCACAGACGATATGGCAGGCAAGAAGAGAACTTCCGTGCTTTCAGCTTCTTGGTATGATAGGAACCTTCTTATGTCAACACGGCAAAAAACAAGAGATGATCCATGCTGGGTTTATTATTGAGGAATCTGATTTTTATCCTGCCCATTTATTTATTTAACACATTTATATGCTGCCATTTAGAAAGCTGCTCAAGGTGGATCACAAAGTAAAACAAGGTAAAATAACTGAAACATAATCATTTAAATTTACAACCATTGAAATCCCGGCCAGTAAACCACCAAG